GCTACGTTATTCACGTAGCTGAAGTTGCGTACCTTAGTTCGAATTAGGGGGGTAGTGTAGACCTGGCCTCAGAGATGTGTACACTGATCCCGCTTCCCAGTGAGATGATTGAGACCTAAATATGACATTTTAAATGTCAACATTTTTACATTGCTGATCATTTTAGCAGAAACATCTAACTCATGTTCCTCAGTCTCTAACTACCTCCCTACGTCCTCTCAGGTGGCAAAGCCCATCGAGCACCTAGTGAGGCCCTGATTCAGGAAAGCATTTAAGCATATGTTTGACTGCTGTGGAACTACTCACATGCTCAGATGCTTGCTTGGATCAGGGCCTCAATTGCCAAAAATTCTAGTTTCATTCCAAACAACTTCTGTAATGCAGTTATACATTGTCAGTTCATATATTTGGAGGCATATCAAAAACTGTGTAAGGCAGGTTACATCAAGTTAATCAAAATAAACAACACAAGGGCTTCTGTACAGATCTGATCATTCTTAGCTGTTACTGTTAACAATTGTAGGTTTCTCTCCCCCCCAGACAGAAGTGTGCTTTTTAAGTTGCCAGTGTTCCTTTAATTTAGATCTGGTGACACAGACAACAAAATAACAAAGTATGTTTTTGATACTTTGCTGGTACTGTTTTGTTCTGTAGAAGTATATTTGATGATTCTGTTTTTTAAATTGTAATAAATCAGTTTTAAATTAGTAATATACACAAACATGACCTTAAGTGGTTCAATTAGGCCACTAATTAATCATTCTTCCTTCTCAGTTTAGACAGGATCCCTTGCATTGCTCATAACTAATCACCTTTTTCTTTCTGTGGCACCCAGCAACTTTGTGGATTTGTTTCATAACTCTAATTTTTTTGGTCCATTAAACAATTCGGAGAACATTCTGATCTTCATTTTTCTTCTGAGAGTCTAAGGTTCAGGACTGCACATCGGTTCCATGATGCCAATTAATCTGTAAAATATCAAACACAAAGTTGTCAGACGATGTCTGCTTGGACATTACCAGTTAATATATGATCTTGTTCTGACAATTTGTGCTGAAAATGGACTCCTCATAGTTTCTGAAAGATTTTAGATAGTAAATTACATGTATCTGTTGACATAAACAGCCCACAGATAAAATATCTGGTTTATTTAATACTGGGGTTTGTATATTATATTATGTTTTCAATAACTATTCTTTGTATAGATGTTTTGTACACTCTGCTGTTATTTTTCAAGTTTAGGTGTTCAGGTATTTAGTTAATGAACATGACTATGAAAATATTGCATGTGGGTATTTATAGAGAAATACATGTAATGGAGTCCTACTCTTATGCAGTATAAGAACTCAGAGAGAGCTCTCTGTGAGGATAGGAACCGAACATGGACAAAACATTTCTGCTTGACATTAAACTCCTGGCCTCTTCTGAAAAATTCACAGAGCAAGATTCTTATTTGGATTGTAAGCTCCCCTGGGCAGGAGACACTCCTTTTTCTGTGTTTTATACATTGTTGACCATACTGTCAGTGCTTAACAAAAAGTGACTAACAAAATGTTATTCAAGTAATAGTGGAAGTTGTACTTAACTTGGCAGAATAGATACTTGGCAAGGTTGATAGTACCTATTATGATTTGTGCTACATTTTTCTAAGTCTAGTGGCTACTGTTCAGGAATGAGAATCAGGAGATCTCATTCTTAGTTTTTAGTCTGTCTCCGGCACAACTTTGTGAGCTGAGGCAAGACACTGAGGGCCAGATTTTCAAAAGTGTCCTCTAAGTTTGGGTGCCTTGCTTTTTTAGTTTTTTATCTAAGATACTACTGTATCTAAACTTAGGAAACCAAATATGGAGATGTCCAAAGTAGAGGCAAGTCCTGAAAATGTTTGCTTTAGCTTATACACTAAGGATCAACAGGAGACCCTAGCATAATACCAAAGTGAATGTTATAATATTTTAGAGACTTTGATTCATGTCAGCTACCCACAGGGGGCTCATAAAGGTTAAGGCCTTGATTCTCCACTGCATTGCACTTTGTACAGTCACATACCTCTGAGTAATATGTTGCCAAATCAAAATGGTAGCATTTTACATCCACTTTGCATAGATGTAAATGGTAGGGGCCTGGTTCTGTTTCCAGTGAAATCTATAGAAGTTTTGCTGTTGAGTTCAGTAGGAAAAAGATCAGGCCCTAAGAGTGTCCTAACTACAGACAAATGTGTGCCTAGAGAATGACAAATATTGAGTCAGAACGGATGTATTGTTTTTGAGATTATAAAGGAAGGCTAATTAGATTTTTTTCTAACTATATTGTAATAAATGTATGTCCATCTGTCTCCCAGCTGGTACCTAAGCGGCCTCTGTGGGTTCCAGATTTGATCCCCATCACTCAACTCCGTTACATTTCACATTCCCACCCACCCCCACAATCTTCCTGCCAACCCCTCACTTGTCTGTATGACCTCTCAGTTGTACAGAGGATAAAGGGGGAAGAATTAAGTAAACTGGAGAGATTTTTTTTAAATTTATTTTAAAGAGATTTGTTTGTGAACTCTTGTTCTCAGCACAGTAGCTTTAAAGTCAAGCAAAAGAATGGAACATAGGGATGTCTTATACATTATTATGCTTTGTAAGTTGCTTTCTTAAAATAAGTCGTGATTAATCTCAGATATTTCAGTGTTTCCTCTATTCATGTGATTTATGGTTTTGATTACTCACTAGAAACAAATCAAAATTTCCAATCTGGATTTATTTCAATACTGAATAAGGAAGTGGTGAGGTAAGGGAATGTGACTGTACTAAATATTCAAATGGTTCATCTTGCCCTCCAATTAATTTTCAGAATTACTGTCTGCTTTGTTTGTGTTGGAAAACATTCTCTCTTTCATCCAGGGGCTTCAAGCTTCTGGCTCAAGTTAGAGCAGCGACAGGATCCCTTTGTGGGATCAGGACCACAGATAGTGCCAGTGGGCAACAGTTGTTTTAAATTTACAACGGTATGGATCAGTAGTGACTTTCTGTGTGTAAGAAAATTGATCTGTATACTTGCATTTGTCAATCTTGTGCCTTCCTTTATGGTGTGCCATGTAGGATTTTTTTTGTAGGGCTGTGCTTGGAGGTTTTGACAACATTTTCTCTATCTTTTTAGCCAAATCTTTATCATAATATGCCCATAAAGATAGATTACCTTTCTTCTTGTCTTTTGGAGTAGCATGCAATCATTCTAATTAGACAGTCCCAACACATTTTTCAAAACACAGAGGTTAAAATGTGTCTCAGAACTGTAAGATAAGCACACTACTCAATGCAAAGCCTGAGTTCAAGAATATAGATAGGCAAGAATCAATGAGTACATTTTATGCACAACATAAATATATTTCTAGGAAAGCAGTTGGAAAGTGAGTTTAGTTGTACATTAGCAATCTTCAGTAGAAATTATTATGGACAAGTTTCATGATATCAAATTAAGATTGAGTAAACATATGGTAAAATCTTGAATCCTTCACTTTAGAGTCATTCCATGTAAAATTAGTAAATATGTTTCTTCTCAGAATGTGATTCAATTGTAAGTCTTTGTTAATTCTCATAAAATGGCAGCTCCAGAACTGCAGTGGTTTCAGAGTTCTGGAACATTAACCCATCTTGTGCGAGTGCGGTTATGACCAATGGTAAAAGTAGGTGGTTTATATTTATACAACTCATGAATGGATTTAAGCAAGGGGACCATATTTGCACTAATCAGTCATGATTAACAATTTCTTAAATGCAGGTGCTGCCCATCACCTATCATTCCCATGCTCTGATAAAAGAGGAAAAATAGATTATTTCTAGATTATAGTTTTCTAGTTTGTTAATGGTGAAACAGAAAATGGGGGTGGTGGTGGGGGGGGAATCCCAAATACTGTAAAAAAAAAAAATTACAGTGAAGCCTGACCTGACTCCCATTGAAGTCAATGACAAAATATATATTGATTTCAGTGGCAGCTGGATTAGGCCCCAAATCTAGAATAATAGATGACCAGTTCTACTTCTCTTTGCTAGCAGCTGCCTCCAAATTAAAATTTTACATGTTCTGGCTGTGTAGAGGAGAATATGGTATTTGATTTCTTATTTCTTCTAGAATGATTTAAGAGTAGTGGCATAAAAAAGAGAAGCACCAAGTTTCTCAATGTGGGGAGGAAAATAATTAAAGGATCATCCTAACTTTTAGTTTAAATTACAAACACACACATCTAGACTTATTTCTTTTAATGTACGAACTAGGGCTGTTGATTAATCGCAGTTAATTAATGTGATTAACTAAAAATATTAATTGCAATTTAAAAAATTAATCGTGATTAATCGCAGTTTTAATCGCACTGTTAAACAACAGAATACCAATTGACATTTATTAAATATTTTTGGATATTTTTCTACATTTTCAAATATATTGATTTCAATTAACACGGAATACAAAGTGTACACTGATCACTTTATATTATTTTTATTACAAATATTTGCACTGTAAAAATGATAAAAGAAACAGTATTTTTCAGTTCACCTCATACAAGTACTGTAGTGCAATCTCTATCATGAAAGTGCAACTTACAAACATAGATTTTTTTTGTTACATAACTGCACTCAAAAACAAAACAATGCAAAACTTTAGAGCCTACAAGTCCACTCACTCCTACTTATTGTTCAGCCAATCGCTAAGACAAATAAGTTTGTTTACATTTATGGGAGCTAATGCTGCCTACTTCTTATTTACAATGTGACCATAAAGTGAAAACAGGCATTCGCATTGGACTTTTGTGTCTGGCACGGCAAGGTATTTACGTGCCAGAGATGCTAAACATTCGTATGCCCCTTCAGGTGTCAGCCACCATTCCAGAGGACATGCTTCCATGCTGATGATGCTCATTAAAAATATAATGCGTTAATTAAATTTGTGATTGAACTCCTTGGGGGAGAATTGTATGGCTCCGGCTCTATTTTACCCGCATTCTACCATATATTTCACGTTATAGAAGTCTCGGATGATGACTCAGCACATGTTCATTTTAAGAACACTTTCACTGCAGATTTGACAAACGCAAAGAAGGTACCAATGTGAGATTTCTAAAGATAGCTACAGCACTTGACCCAAGGTTTAAGAATCTGAAGTGCCATCCAAAATCTGAGGGGGATGAGGTGTGCAGCATGCCTTCAGAGGTCTTAAAAGAGCAACACTCTGATGCGGAAACTACAGAACCCAAACCACCAATAAAGAAAATCAACGTTCTGCTGGTGGCATTTGACTCAAATGATGAAAACGAACATTCGTCTGTCCACACTGCTTTGGATTGTTATCGAGCAGAACTCATCATGAGCATGGACACATGTCCTCTGAAATGTTGGTTGAAACATGAAGGGACATATGAATCTTTAGCGCATCTGGCATGTAAATATCTTACGATGCTGGCTACAACAATATCATGCAAACACCTGTTCTCACTTTCAGGTGACATTGTAAACAAGAAGCGGGCAGATTATCTCCTGCAAATGTAAACAAACTTGTTTGTCTGAGCGATTGGCTGAACAAGAAATAGGACTGAGTGGACTTGTAGGCGCTAAAGTTTTACATTGTTTTATTTTTGAATGCAGTTATTTTTTGTATATAAATTCTACATTTGTAAGTTCAACTTTCATGATAAAGAGATTGCACTACAGTACTTGTATTAGGTGAATTGAAAAAAGACTATTTCTTTTGTTTTTTACAGTACAAATATTTGTAATAAAAATAAATATAAAGTGAGCACTGTACACTTTGTATTCTGTGTTATAATTGAAATCAATATATTTGAAAATGTGAAAAACATCCACAAATATTTAAATAAATGGTATTCTATTATTGTTTAACAGTGTAATTAATCACAATTAATTTTTTTAATCACTTGACAGTCCTAGTACAAACCATTTTAGGCTTCTTAAAATACCTTTTTTAAATTTTTCCCCTGGGGAGTTTATATGCCCACATTAGAGAGACCTGTGGCACAATGCAACTGCCACTCCAGCCTTCATTACTTATGCTTAAATCTTCTGGTTGTTCACTAATAATATCTGACCTAAGAAAGCCTGGACCAATCTGGTTGTAAAAACTGCTAGTTAATTGGATGCTATGTGTATGTTTTCCACATGATGGTGCTGCAACTGTGTTTCATGGGTTTTTTGTTTTGTTTTGTCTTGTCTTCCCTGGCCCATACTGCTAGTAGGATACTATATTTATGTCAGGCAGAATAGACCCTTATTACAACCTGTGATCTCTGCTATTCTAATTGTTTTTTAATATTATAATAATTTTCATTATACATGTAAAAAGCTCAGTTGGACTATTTCAATGGAAAAGAAGGCAGAAGCAGAAAGCTGTTTTCTTGTGATTCTTTTATGTATTATGACTGTGGTGACCACTCTGAAGCAGAAAAAAAGAGCCTCTATACTTCTTTCCTAAACCCTCTCCCCTCCTTTGTGAGGGAGAAGTGGGAGGGAAGAAGGAGAATGAAATAAGCCCGATGGCCACTGGTTGAGCCTCCAGATGTGTGTAGAGAATAAAGAAGTCAAAGAAGAAATGTGTGTGACTGTATGTTGTAACTAATTGTACAGTTGTTCAAGTTTGCCCTTAATGGTGTCAAACTAAAAAGTCAATTGAGACAAGTGGCCAGTTATTCTGGATTTACAGTGGTGTGAATGAGAACAGAATCTGGGCCTACAGCTTTTTCACACATTCAGCCTCATGTGTGATTTGTGGATATTTTAGGTTGAGGTCCCAGGCTAGGCTGAAGAAAAATAGTGCTGGCAATGTCCAGCAATTGAAATGCTATGGACTGTTAATTGACAAAGAGGAAAAAAATGATGAACAGCAAAACCAGCATGGTTTGCTTGAGTCAGTGAGTCTTGTGGAAGCAGTCCGACAGACTTGACTGAACTATCTACAAATCCCTAATTTTCCCCTGTGATAAAGAAAACTGTGGTCAGGGAATGGCATATCGTTTAACTGGTCATTGTATCTTCTCTGATATTATCTTCACTGTACTGGAATTTGCTCCTGTGGAACTGGAATCCTCCAAAGATGGGAGTTACCTGTCTTCGAGAAGTTTAGGTGAGAGGAAGGAGTGAGACACTGAAAACTGTAGGTAGCACAGTTTTATTCATTTTGAGCTGTGTTGAGATAGTAGCACCAACAAATTCTAGTTAGAATAAAAATACAGATAAATATCTCTTTGGTAATACTCTGTACATTACTTCTGACAAATGCTCCTGTCTATGTTTAAAAACACTGGGACAAATAATTACATCTGTGGTACTCCACATGTTCCATGAAGACTGTAGCAAAAGTACACAGCTTTGTTTGTGCGTGAAACCTACTTTCACTATGTTATTTACCTTTTAAATTATTCAGCCCGGGAACAATCAATATTATAACTAGTCTACGAAGGGCTTGTCTACATGGCACAGCAGTGTGCGCGAGAGGATGTAATTTCTAAACTGTACTGCATTGCACGCCAACTAGCCCATATAGACACTGCTGACACACATTAAAAGTTCCCTAGTGACCACCCTACGTTAACGTACTATGGAATTTTTACTGCCAGATAGTGCGCAGCATACTGGTGTGCTTTAAAAAGCACACACCTCTAGCTCACATTGCTGTGCTATGTAGACATGCCCTAAAACAGAAGCAACAGCATTTTCCAACTATAAGATGCATTGTCAAAAGTACAGTAAGTTTGGGGCATAAACATTTAGACAGTTCCTTTAGACATGGATGAAAAATACTTTAGTGATAAGCTGTATAAATGTAAGCCTTGGCCAAACTTCTCATTTTGGCCAGTGGTAAACTTGACCCTTTGATTACAATATATTAATGCTATATATATCATCTTTCTAGACAGAAATCTGAAAAATGTTAGAAAGTCCAAAATCCAGCAAGACCTCTGCACTAAGTGCCAAAGGCTCAGTAAAGAAACTTAAAGGAGAAACCAAAGCTAAAGGATCAGCCAAAGGCAAGCGAAAACAGCTTGGTATGTATGATACTACAGTGGTAAAGAAAGATGTTGCCTAGATTTACATGGCAGCTACTTACATTGCTCGGGCTAAAATGTTACAAATTATATACTAAGTACATTAAAACTCACTAATTTGCACCAATGACTGGGAGACTTGTTATGAATTATTACAACTTTGTGAATTAGCAAAACACATGCACCATGGACATTACATCACACAATTGACTATATTCATTTAGAGAAACATAGTTTAGATTTACTATGTGGCCTAGTGGATAGAGCATTGGACTGGGACTTAGGAGACCTTTTTTCTATTCCCAGCTCTGCCACTGGGCTGATGGGTGACCTTGGGCATGTAACATTACTGCTCTGTGACTCAGTTTCCCCAACTATAATGTTGGGATATTGATGCTTATCTCCTTGTAATGCATTTTGAGATCAACCAATAAAAAGCTTATGAGAGCTAAGTATGATTGATTATTATTGCTTTACAATGAAGACAGAGGTTTAAGTACAGGAAAATACTGAGGTATCTCAGGTGCCACTGTGCAGAAAATGTTCAGTGTTTAATATTTAATAGTGAACATCATCAATGTACTATCATTTTTTTAAAATATTATGAAGTCTCACTGTAATAATATGTAACTTTACTGGAGTGCTCTGGTCTTATATCTGAGCTGAGAAGTGGGGAGCGAGAGTTAGCAAAGTGCAGGTTAGTGAGGTTCTTCTGTATATTGTAAGGAAAGAGTTTCTTCAGTGATCTAGGCACATTCACCCAAGAGGTCACAATGTGCTATCAAGATGAGTGTCAAAATTGGACTCTGTGTGCTGCTGCACTGCCCTAAGGGGAGCTGGGCTGGAGTCACGCCTGGAGAGGGCCAACTGACTACAGCAGAAACCAGAAAGGAAACACACCTTAGTGAATGGTATCAATAAAAACCTCTTCAGTTAAAACATTATCAATACTATCAACAACAGGTCAGCACCCCAGGCTAGGTGTGGACCAGGGTCAGTTCATGAGTGTAGACTGGAGGCCTCTGTCCCCAGCCCAGGAAGGACTGAAACCACAGTCAGAGTCTGGATCTGGGCCTTTTTCTCAGGGCTTCACTTGTTATTCAAACACAAAACTCACAAAGTAACACTAAATAAAGCTATTCCCCAGTCCTTCTTCTGGCCATCTGCCTGGGGCTATGTCTACACCTCAGAGCCTATGCCTGCACAGCTACATCAGCATATGCTGGCCTAGCCCCTGATGTAGACACAGTACACACCAACAGAAAGGGATTTTCCAACTGGAGTAGGAACACCACTCCCCAAACGACATTAGCTATACCAGCAGAAGCACTATTCTGTCAACATAGCTGTGTCTACAGGTCTCTGGTCTGGTCCTTGGGATCTCTGGTTCCCGCAGTCAAGTGCTGAAGCGGCTCTTGCGCAGGAGCCTCCACCAAGTGTCCTCTCTCCTCGGCGGTCAGCCTAGAATGAGCTGGGCTGCTCCCTTTTATACTGAGGCAGCAGTTGGAGCATGCCCATCATGGTCTGGGGGGCAGGACTTCGGCCACCCATAATGTGGCGTTAACCCTTTCTTGCCTAGTGCGGGGTATGCACACCCTGTCACACCCTCCCAATCACTATGTCTAGTGAGTGCTACGCAGCAGAGCAGACTGAACACCAGACCATTAATCCCTTCCTGTCCTGACCCATTGTAGGGATGCACAATGACTCCTGCAGCTCCGTACCCACTCCACCACTCTTTAGAAAGATGCAACATCTGCTCCTCTGAATACCAGCCAGCTCTACTGATCAAAGTGTTTAGGGGACCCAGCCATTTACCATCCTATTCAGTCATGACCATTTCTGGGTGGCAAGTTACCCAGGGGATGCTATCAGGTAGAGTGCTGTGACTGCATTTGTGCCACAAGGTGGGAGATTTCCTCTTTGGTGTCGAGCACCTGTTCAAAATAAACATGAATTTTACATTTCTCTCAAAATTCAAAGAAATACCAATCCTCCTTAAAACACATTCAGACACTCATTCGAATAGGATTCGGTAGTTTCTTTCATAAAATCTAAGTTGAATAGAAAGTGTATTGTGCTGCCTCTTCACAGGTTAGATTTTATACATTATAAAGAATGTGTTGCCACATGTGTATGTTATCAAATTAAAGATTGTACAAGGATAACTAATGTATTAGAATTTTTTAAATGCCAACTTAACATCATGTTATTGTATTTCAGGTAAAAAAGATGAGGAAGAGGACGTATCTATGGCTAGCATAGGTAAGTTCCATTATTGATCAGGATTTACAGTAACAATTTTAGAATATTTTACAGCACCCATAATCACTGAGGTTAATAATGTAGAAGAATAAGGAAAGATGAAGAAAAATGGGTGAGAAAGAATTAGAAACGATGAAAGACTACATCTGCCTGAACTAACTAGTAAAGTACAGCTGTCTGATCAGCAGGCAGGTTGGTGTGGAGTGTCAGACAGGAATAGCTTTCCCAACCTAGGAACCTGTGTTATCAGGAGTTGAAAAGAGGAGACGACAGCTTGTGCTGAAGAGAGCAGTGGTTGTCAAGGGGAGGTGAAGTGTATTTACCAGATGATATTATTGTAAATTACCTGCAGTCAAAAGAAAAACTTTAATGTTTAAACAAAATATTTAGATTTCCTTTAATCGTTGTTAAACCATTCTTAAATCTGATTGGAAACTGATTTACAGTCCATTTCACTGGGGTCTACCATTACCAGCACCACAAGTAGGAGCCAGTTTCAGCAAGGGAGTGGCTTGCAGAATTAGGTACAGAAATTCCAATTGCCATTTAAAAACTTCTGAAAGAATTCACGTCAACCACTTCTTCCTTAGTGGATATTTTTACCCTTGGATATTGAGTAAGATGAGTGCAATTTTTGTTTTTAATAAGTTAAGTCTAGATATATTCACATCTTAAATATTGTAGGATTTTTCATGCTTTTCTAGAACCCTCTTGTTATGCATTCTTTTGGACAGATTTTGCAGTTTTTGACCTCAATTGCCTGATAAAAAACTACCTGGTCAAGCTCAATAGGTTACATTCTCAGTTGGATGTATTGGCATTTACTGGCGCAGCTTTCATTGCTAAAAGCAGTTGCACACCTGAGAGATCTTGTGGCAAATTAGAATATACTCCTCACCAGAGGATTTTATAAAAAAGGCATAAATCACTGCTTTCCCCCGAGTAGCATATTATTCAGTACTATTTGCTGATGGATGGGGGTAAAATTACATGGTTTTAGAAGTTTCATCTAAGCTGGGGTAAGTTGTCTCTGCTTTTAATAAAGACAGAATATGTCTAGTCTTTCAGATGATATCAATGTTATGTTTATGATGTTCCTGGAAAGTCATCAAGAGAAACAAATAAGGATCGTAGCTCCGCCTAGTGGCGAACAATAGAAGAAAAAATTGATATCCGTATGACTGTTAGTTTATATAGAATTATAGTATTTGGAAATGCAAAAGATCCTATTCTCTAAAGATACTATCTATGTGGGAGTCTCATTCCTGGTTCTTAGCTCCTTAGCATAAAACTAGCAAAATTCCCTTTGCTCTTTAGGGATTTTTGGCCTCTGAGGATAGTGGTAGCAGGTTAAAGTGTGAACTGTGGGCACAGGGCACAAACATTGTAATAGTATAATAAACAAACAGGAACCAATGTCCCCAAAACTAAGACTCTTGTAAAAGTCCACCACTACAAATACAAGGTGATTCCAAACAAATGGTACAACATTTGTGGTGTGTGGTAATAGAAAGGTTTCATTGGCACTCGCTAAAACAACAAGGAGTCTGATGGCACCTTAAAGACTAACAGATTTATTTGGGCATAAGCTTTCGTGGGTAAAAACCTCACTGAGTTGACCTGCATAATTTATCTGTACCTTTACTACTCATGAATAATGTCACCATCCCAAGGTCATGCTGACAGTACCTGTTTACCGTCATGACCCATTTTATGTGTCTGTGATACATTATTTCATTTATTATTTATATTTCAGTATATAGGAAGTACATATTATATATAGTATATATTACAGCCATATAGGAAGACACTAGTCAGAAGAGCTTTTAATTGAAAAATGTTGACTTGATGCTAAAAACTTTTACTCAGAAAAGCATCATCTGGCAAAATTATTGATATGAGGAAGAATTTCAGGATCAGCTCTTAGTTTTGTATTATGATTTGTACTGGAATCCTTCAGGCAAATAGATGTTATGATATAACCTATTATTCTGGTTATTGCTTTTAATTTAGTCTCATAGAAATAAGTGGTCAAAAAGACATTTTAGGCCATCTAGCCTGCTCTGCTGATGCAGGACAGTTGCCACAGTATATTCCCTAGTGTTCTGTCTAGAGTAGTTTTCATTAATTTTAAATGGACATTCATTATGTTCCATGTGACACTGAAACTGCATCAGGTTAAGAAAATGTTTTTATGTTAACATTGAAGGAAAAGATACTATGCAGCTTGTTCAAGCATTTTTTTAATCATCTGCTACCACTGGAGTGCAGTACAGCTGTTTTATTATATGAAATAATTTTTTATATGAGCTATTTGAAAATCACCATTATTCTCTATTAGGACCTTTTGATACAAAGAGAATTATATGACTAATTGCTTGGGTTTCCTTTTACTCTTCTGTCAGATGGGGGGAATCTTCTCCTCCTTTCTGATAATTTCACAATAAGGGGATTCCAAAAATATTATGGGTAGGGATAGGAAAGTTATATTATTTTCCTCTGGGAACCAGTCCAGTTAGATGCACCCTGGGCATCAGTCCTGGACACCCCATGCAACAAATCTCGAGGACTGATACACATGTATGTTGTACTGTCCCTCTGCTCCCCCAGTCCATTCCATTCTCTTGAGCCAATTGGAGATTAAAATGAATGAAAATCCTCTTATCGGTGCACTACAGAGATCTGGAGTTTTCTCCTGTTGGCTCACAGGAACAGAGCTGGCAAGGGGACGGCAGGGAAGACATGACATGCACGTGCCTATCTATGATGTTGTTAGTTGGAAAGTTCCCCAGCAGAGCAACTGGGGAGCTTTTACTGTTACAGTCCTCGTGCTGAACGGGTGGTAATTTTCTTTCTCAGAGAGGTGCTTTGCAAGAGGAAACGTAATTTCCTGGGCCTGTCAGCCATGACATATTGAAATCTTGGCTGTATCTGTAGCATTGCAGCTGTGTACTAGGGTTCCAGGTCTGTGTCCTGACCACCTCCTTCACTCCCTGGGGCAGCAGGGGCTGGGAGTGCTGCAGAACAACATGCTTGATTCTTTAGAAGAAGTAAACGCCTCAAGTCGTTTCTTCGTAGTTGACTCCTATAGCCAAAATGCTAGGCCAAAGAAGGGTTCATGGCCTGGCCTCCTCATCCCAAAGGTGGGGAGCTGGGGTCATTGGAATAAGGTGCCTGACAGGGAGAACACAGAGACTCTTGGAAGCTCACGCAAATATAAGTCCTTAAAATCTAAGCGATACAGAAAAGGAAAGAGTGAAATGTTAATTAGCACTTGTGAAGCAAATAGACACAGGAATTGTGTGTGTCGTGTGTGTATTGTATGCATACTGCACAATGTTGTGTAATAGCCAGGAAGTCCAGGTAGAACACATCTTTAATATTGCAGAGTATACTAGGAATGGCTTAGTATTCCATTGATTTCAGTGGATGACTGCAGCAGAGCAGATACAGTGGAGGACCTGCAGTGAAAGGGTTTAAAGGATAAATGTGGGATTTATCAAATATTACCTATTAAATGATAGGCCTATTGGGAAATTTAGCTTCCTGGATGATAGAGATTAAAAAGGATTTATTGTTTTGTCAATTCTAAAAGGATTAGGTTTGAATTGACTTCTCAAAGCATGTTTACCAAGCTGATCAATACTCCATTTTAGATTTATCTACTTCAGCTTAAAATAGACAAAAAGATGCTTGCTCCAGGCTCTAGATATCCTGACAAAATATACCTTATAAGAACAGGAAATAGAAAAACTCTGAAACACCAGCAGATTTCACACAAAAAAAACCCAGCCGCTGAGAACATAACAAAACCCACCTGGCCCTTCAGGTCCCCAAAAACCTCCATTCTCTAAGCAGCCAGTTGAAAAGAAGCATTTTACAGCTTACCCTCAAGGTCAGCAGATGCAAACTATTTCAGATCAAAGCTTAGGGGTCTTCTACGAAGAATGTCCTCTCAACAGTCCCATTCTAATAAGCTAGCAAAGATCCAGCTTGAATGCCTTTGTAGTCTGCAACTATGGCAGTATTGCAAGGGGAAAAAGTAAGTCTCTCAAATAGGCAAGGCTCAAACCAATTAGGCCTTTATATGTTATAACCAACTATTTACATTCCATCCAAAGCCAACAAGCAGACAATGCAATTCAGGAAGCACCAGTGTCACACAACAGTGCCCTTGCATATCATTGGGAGCAGCAAGGAGTAGCAGATTTGGCCCCTCTGGCCCTCCCTCATGACATGTGGAGTGATGAGGCCAAAACTGAGCGATTGGCACACAGGGTCAGGGGGCCAAATCAGAGTGAGCACACTGGGCAGTGGGCCAGCCAGTGCTGCTCCTTCTTGCTGCTTCCATGGGGCTGGCTCCTATACCAGAGCTCCCCCCAGGGGCCTGTCCAGCCTTGTCCCACTTCCAGAAGCCTGTGTCCTCTCCCTCTCAAGGATGGGGAATGACACTGCACCTGGTGGGCCGGGCTGGAAGGTGGGAGCTGAGCATGATGCAGACTTGGTGGGCTAGATGCTGGGGCCAGTGGCAGCAGTGCGGATGGCTCCACAGGGATTACTGGTGCATACCATGTCAATTTCTGGGGGCACCCCTGGTGTCACATACTCATGGTGAGCTACATCACTTAACAAGTGGATCCACCATATTCTATATTAGCTTCAGCTTTTGAATGGATGTAAGGTGTAGCCCCATCCCATATAGAACTTACTACAGTCATCCTATCTAGAAATGACAAAGGCATAGATTATAGTGCCAAGGCTGGCTTTGAAGACACAGTCAGAGTTCTAGTCAATGTTCTTTGATTATCTAAAAGCAGATAGGAATCTGACAAGAGTCACACTTTAGTAACAAATGATGGATACATACTCTCAATCAAAGGGTCAGATATAATCTTTGTTATATGATCTGGTTGCCTCCGTTGGCCAGCCATTGCCACCTCAGTTTTATCTGGTTTGAGTCTCAATCAGTTTGCTCTTATTCATGCTTCAGTCTCACCCAGTAACTGAGAAATAGATTCAACTGCACCCTAGACAGGATGAAATGGAGATGAGGGTCCTGATTTAGAAAAGCATCCCTGTTCAGGACAGTCCATAAACCTGTGCTTAAAGTTAAGCATTGGCTTAATTGCTGTCCTGAATAGGGCTAGACTCGGACTTTACTCCATCAAGGCCATAAAGCTGGAAATCATTAGTATATTGAAAGCATTTCAGTCCATGCCTCTTCACTAACCCTCCTAATGGCCTCATGCACATTGAACAAGATATATGAGGTGACAGAGAGGAAGCCTGCACCACCCCATGTGAGAGAACCCATGAGAGAGAAGAGCAATTGCCTAACAGTGGGTGCACGAAGCTAGCACAGGGCAGCTCTGTCTAAACCCAGTTTGGTCTTCACGTGAGCTAACAAAACCTCATAATTAACTGTAGCAAAGATTGCTGGCAAATTTGACAATATCAGTATGGACACCCTGTCCTTATTCACTGCCTGAAGGCCATTGATCAATGTAAATATAATAGGCAAAGCCCAGAATAACAAGGGTTTAGGAAGTCAGAGGCATCAAGACTCTGAGTTGTCTTGCTGCAACCTTTTCCATAATCTCAAACAAACATTAACAATTAGATACAGTCACTAATTACAGATTATCAGCATCTAGAGCTGGATTTTGATCAGAGGATATACACGTGCTTCCTTAAGAGCACTTGGTCCTCTGTTCTCTTCAAGATTGCATTGGCCATCTCCTCTAGCAAAGGACCAGTATTTCCCTACTGGCCGTCACTAGCTAGGAATAAGACTAAAGTGCAGGTTGTGGAATGAAGTTTCCCCAGCATATTACTGAGCAACACTGCACAAAACTCAAGCAGAAAACACTGAGCATTTGTCCCCTCCATATATTACTGTGGTTTTATAGATGCAGATGTTTTGGTCTGAATACTGTAAATTTTATCCACAGTGATGCAAGATTTCCACACTCCAGGAAGGATTCTCTTCAGCCAAAGAATAGACATAACTTAGATTTACCAGGCTACCCACCACCTTAAAGAAATCAGCTGATCGTTATTTTGTGAATGCTAGATTAGCAGCAAATAAATGTTTCTTTGCCATCCACACAGCCAACTCCTAGCACAATACTTCTGCCTTAGCATGGGATGATTGTGAATTCATTCTTCTGTTTTCTTGAAAGATTTTATTTTAAATAACGTATATTGATTATGCAAAATGTGTTAGGTGCTGACTTTTACAACATGAAGACAATGTTATCTTTCCATATTGAATTTACAATCTATGCTGCCAAATGTACCAAAAACTATAAGTACAGCGGTTCAAAGGTGTCGTATTACTAGCAGTAAGAAAGATTTAGAACTGTTAACGACAGATCTCCTACACTGTCAACCTTTCAAGGAAAACACAATTTTTGTTCACCCTCCAACTTTGCCTTACTTTTTCTAGGCCACCCAGAGATCTTTCCATTAGTTTTCACTGAAAAGACACAGGAAATTTTAAATTGTCGAATTAATGAAGATATCACAGAAGAAAAACCTTACAAACTTCTGAAAAAAGAGGACATAATTCAGGATATGAAGACAAGAGCTGCAGTCTCCGATTTCCACCCAGTCAAAAAAATAGTCCTAGTACGTAACCCCTTTTTTTCTAACTTTAAAACTTAAAACTTAAAACCCTCATACCACGTACTTTCAGTGGTAAGGCCCATCCTCATCTGTCCATCTGTGAATACTCTAGGAAAACGTATTTTCATTACAATTTTTCATATTCATATATAAGCCTTAAAAAGAAATGTAAAAGGGAATAAATAGTATAATACAAAATAGAAATAAGTCTAGTTATGCCTTTGGATATGTCCTTGCAATTTTCATTGAAGTCAATGAGAATTGTACACACACATGTCAGGGCAAAACAGCCCTCTGTACTTGTAAATTTTTACAAATTCTGACCCTGATCATCCACCACTAAAGTTAACAATAAACTTTGCCATTGACTTAAATGAGCATAGGATCAAGCTTTTTTTGTACATTACTTGCTTTCTACTTTCCACTAAATAGCTACAGTTCTTTGAATTTAAGAATTATTTTTTCTTCGGGATTGTGTTTTCTCGTATAGATTACCTAAATATCTAATTCACAATTTTACAGATCTTAGATTAATATATCAGTTGTAATTGGAAGTTGAATGCATGAAACCTTTCTGTTCTTATTCATGCAGGAATATCCAGGGGAAGAACTTCTGATAGTTTTAGATAGAGAGTTCAAATATGGACAGAACTTTTATCTTGTTGCAACCGAAGAGGCCAAGGAAAGCTTTTTAAATGTAAGAAAATCCAAACACACCTTCACATTATTCCACATACTTAAAATAACTCACAGTGCTACAGTCACACACACACACACTTTGAGATCTGTATTTAGGGTGACCAGACAGCAAGTGTGAAAAATTGGGACAGAGGGTGCGGGGTAATATGAGTCTATATAAGAAAAAGCCCCAAATATCAGGACTGTCCCTATAAAATGGGACATCTGGTCACCCTATCTGTATTGTCTCTTCTTCTCTTTCTCTTTGATTCCTATCCATCAGCTCACCAGCAACAATGGGGCCGAATGAAGTTTTTCCATCACTTTGTATCAGCTTCACAGCCTCATTCATCACTGTGTTTATCCAATACATCCTCAGTTTTCCTCTCTTTCTAGTTGCTTGCACTCTGGTACATATCACCTCATTTGGCATCCTTTCTGGGTCCATTCTTGACCCATGTTCAAACCATTATAGTTGTCTCTCTTGGCTCTTCTGTAACAGCATTATTTCTTGCCCTAGCCATGTTCTTAGCACGTAATTTTTTATTTTCTGCAGTCTTGAATCTCTCAGTATTCCCCTCTGCTAGTTCATTTCTACAGTCAATCTCTTATGTTCATCAGCTTTCCTCAGACATCAACATTCCGATCCTGCAATATCAGCACAATTGTCTTATATACACTGCTTTTAATTTTTATTGAAATGTCTTAACCTTCCAGATCTTACAGAGTTTTAGGAATGCAATAGTGGCTAGTCTGATTCTTCTTTTTATGTCATCGATACAGATCATCTTCAATGACATGAAAAGAAGATCTGTATTGAACACACTTATAAATAAAGCACTCTAATTGCAAGAATTTTACACTTTCAGTTAGTCTTAACATGCAAAATATACCTATAATTTATACTGAAAAAGAGTTTGGGTGAAATCCCAACTCCATTGTCAATGGGATTTTTGGCATTGACTTGATTGATGTCAAGATTACCATTTCTCATAAAACTGGTAATCACAAATGCAAAATCTCTAGTTTTCCAGATTAGACACATTTCAGTAAGAGATTATAATTAATGAGCTAAAGACTCTTCAAAGGAAGAATATCAACAAATTGTACTTAGAAAAGATATTTTTGAATGCAAAACATTAAAGGAAAACATTAACCTTGTCATTGAAAGTCACATTTGGTTTTGATTTTTTTTCCTACTGTTGTTACAAGGAGCACATAAAATTATTCAGAGTAGCAGCCGTGTTAGTCTGTATCCGCAAAAAGAAGAACAGGAGGACTTGTGGCACCTTAGAGACTAACAAATTTATTAGAGCATAAGCTTTCGTGGACTACAGCCCACTTCTTCGGATGCATATAGAATGGAACATATATTGAGGAGATATATAAAATTATTATAACTGAAAGATTAGAGAAAACTGTGCTTATTTTCATTGCAAACATTTTTTATATAGTCATTTAGACTCTGCTTTTGCAAATATTTGTACACGTGATTTCAGTAGGCCTATTTATTTGCCTGAGGTTATTAACATGCTTAAGTGTTTGCAGGACTGGAACCTTAATTAGTTAGGTCTCAATTCTGCAATGCACTGGAGCACCACTGTATGGACCCCTGTGACCTTCCAAGTGCAGTACACTGCAGGTTGAGGGCAGGTTAATCATTTTCTCCTTTTGTTCCTGTGTGTCTGTCACACAGCAGCAGGGGAGAGGAAAAAAGCATTTTAATAGAAAATAAAATAGTGATTGTACATAAGAACAGCCATACTGTGTCAGACCGAAGGTCCATCTACCCCAGTATCCTGTCTTCCAACAGTGGCCAGTGCCAGGTGCTTTAGAGGGAATTAACAGAACAGGTATCAGAACAGGGAGTGGATGGGTCTTTACACAAAGTAAAACTTATTTCCCCATGCTAATTTTCCCCCCTACTGTTACTCACACCTTCTTGTCAACTGTTGGAAATGGGCCATCCTGATTATCACTACAAAGGTTTGTTTTTCTCCTGCTGATAATAGCCCACCTTAACTAATTACCCTCGTTATAGTCAGTATGGCAACACCCATTTTTTCATGTCCTCTGTGTATATATATCTTCCTACTGTATTTTCCACTGCATGCATCCGATGAAGTGAGTTTTAGCCCATGGAAGCTTATGCTCAAATAAATTTGTTAGTCTCTAAGGTGCCACAAGTACTCCTTGTTCTTCTTGCTGATGCAGACTAACACGGCTACCACTCTGAAAGGTATCATCAAGTGATTTATCCCCTGTTGCCCATTACCAGCTTCTGGCAAACAGAGGCTAGGGACACCATTCCTGCCCATCCTGGCTAATAGCCATTGATGGACCTATCCTCCATGAATTTATCTAGTTATTTTTTGAACCCTGTTATAGCCTTGGCCTTCACAACATCCTCTGGGTAAGAGTTCCACATGTTGACTGTGCGTTGTGTGAAGAAATACTTCCTTTTGTTTGTTTTAAACCTGCTGCCTGTTAATTTCACTTGGTGGACCCCTAGTTCTTGTGTTATGAAAAGGAGTAAATGACACTTGCTTATTTACTTTCTCCACACCAGTCATGATTTAATAGATCTCTCTTAGTTGTCTCTTTTCCAAGATGAAAAGTTCCAGTCTTATTAATCTCTCCTCATATGGAATCTGTTCCATCCCTCTAATCATTTTTGTTGCCCTTTTCTGTACCTTTTCCAATTCCAATACATCTTTTTTGAGAAGGGCAACCACATCTGCACACAGTATTCAAGATGTGGGCATACCATGGATTTATATAGAGGCAATATGATATTTTCTGTCTTATTATCTATCCCTTTCCTAATGATTTCCAACATTCTGTTAGCTAGTTACAAGGGACTCAGGAGCAGGTGGAGTACATGAAACTACTTTAAATTCCTTTTTAAAAACTGACTTCCTTTCAAATTGACAGTGTCCGTTTAGTATTTATTGGAAAATTCATTGCTAAAAGGACAGGGCCTAATCCTCCAAATCCTTACTCCTGTGAGTAGCCGGATTGACTACATTGAGACTATTTGTGTGAATAAGAATTGGCAACACTGAATTTTTTATCTACATTTAAATAAGATATTTATGTTTATATATGAAAAACTATAAATAAATTCTTTGCAATTACTTTGTCTTATAGCCTCCAGAGGCAGTTGAAGAAGAGGGAGAGACTAAAGAAGGAACGACAGAGGAATACGTTTATAAGCCTCCTGTCCGCAAACCTTGGGTCTCCCTTGGCAGTGAAAAGGAAATTGAAGAAGAATCAGTTAATGAATCTGTTAGAAAGGTCAGAAATTATAGATGTCATTCAATCAAAGTCATATTCTCACACAAATTCTCTGTTAAAATAAAATTAAAGAAGTTCTTTAAATGAACAGAAGGCAGAAAATTTAGAGGTATGCCTGAAATTCTTGTGGTCATCCCAGTTTTGTCTGTGATCTTGTCAGATACCACAGCAAAGGAGAGTTGGAACTAGCTAGACCTCTAAGAAAAACTGGAAGTGCTGTAGGAAGAGATTCTGATGTTTTCCTTTTCCATTTAAGTCCATACATGATCCAGTGCCCTGCCTGTAATGAAGGCACTCTGCTGCTGGAGATGTAAAACAGAAGTCATGGCCACTTGTGGACATTAAGCATCCCCATCACCATTTGTAAGGTTTGAGGTGGTAGTTTTGATATCTTTGCCAAATAATTACAATTTAGATAATTGTAATTATTTGTTACTTACTTAAGATCCCAATCCTGCTCCAAACAAGTCAATGGAAAAACTCCCATTAACCTCTGGGAAGTCCAAATTCTCCATATAGTTTAAATGGGATGCAGTATTCTCTTCCATTTGTTCTGGAATCTGCTGTCTGATATAACATTGGGCTTAAGTTGCATATAGGCTTTGTGGTGGCTCTCAAAGCAGGGTAAATTTCACCCAGAGAGAAGTGAGGTACTTATTTGGGCAAAGGGACAATTTTGATATCTCAGAGTAACAGGATTGGCCCTTTCAGTGCTAGGAGTAATTTAAAAAATATTCAGAAGTCCTGTACCGTTTGGAAAGATAAAAATATATGATGACATACACTTATTGATGATTTGGGCTCATGAGAGGGGTACAGAATTTCAAATCTATAAATGTTTGTGAACAAGTGACCACCAGAAGTGACCTTGCAGCTCTCTGAATCTCACTGTTTCAAAGGACTTGACTTTCAAGAATAGTTTTCCTGTGGTTATTGCAGATTAAATATATGATTTCTCGAGTGCGAAGAGAGTTTGGTTCAAAGGTCAAATTTACTGATAGAAATGCTTCAAGCGTGAAAGATGGCTACATTGAATGTACATCCTATCAGGATAAAAATTTCAGCATTATGAAACTTGAAAAAGATGTTGGTGCACAAGTCGTTCCAAAAGTAAGGGAAATGAGTACGCAAACAAAGTGGTAAGTGTGAAATGGATTTACCAGTTTTTAGTAATTATAAAGGGAAACCATCCCTTCATTATTATTTATTAATTTATGTCCTGATTCTGAGCTCACTAACAGTAATGTAAACCAGGAATAACTCATTGGAGTCAATGGGGTTACACAGTTGTAAATCTAGTGTGAGAGCAGAATCAGGTCCTCTGAGAGCACCTTTTCAAATACTGTGCAGCTAAGTTCTCCCTCACTTCCGAAGTCGCATCAACCCAAATCATCTTACCAACATTAGCAAAAATTAACATATACCTCTACCTCGATAGAACACTGTCCTCGGGAGCCAAAAAATCTTACCGTGTTATAGGTGAAACCGCGTTATATCGAACTTGCTTTGATCCGCTGGAGTGTGCAGCCCCGCCCCCCGGAGCACTGCTTTACTACGTTATATCCGAATTCGTGTTATATCAGGTCGCGTTATATCAGGGTAAAGGTGTAGTTAGCTTTCCATTTTTTGTACTTCATAAGGCTTCTTTAAAAAAAAAATCTTTCAAACTTACCTGTGTTAAAATTTGTTCCAACTTGCTTAGGACCTATCCAAGAAATGCAACCACACAATACTTCCCTAGAGAGTTCTCAGATGAAGAAAAAGAGCTGTGTTTGTCATCTGAGGATCTGAAAGAATTTATTATCTCAGTGTTTTTAAGGTAAAAATGTTGCAATAATATGCATTAAAGTTTACTTTCAGTAAAACAGTACACACAACTATACAATAGGTGTCACGATATACTCAGGTTTATAACTGTTAGTTTTAAAATCAAGACAAAAAACGGAATTCTCTGATGCATGCATTCCCAATCCATGCTCTTCTGATGTTGTGCTTTGTGGAAGGTGGTTTCAAATTTCTAAAAGAAGTTAGTCAACTGTTAAGCCACAATTAAATTTCAGATGGTTCAAAGTGTCTGTCAGTAGGAAAGTTTTTAAAGTATATGTCTCACTCATTTCATGTGTTTTTCCATACTCTACACCAGTGATGGGCAACCTGTGGCCACAGATTGCCCACCACTGCTCTACACTGTTACTTTTGCTAATTATTGAAGTACTTCCATCATAGTAATGCTATTGCATACCCGTCCAGTAATGTGACTAACACCTTCCTCTGAAGCATCAGACATTGGCTACTGTCAGAGACAGAATACTGCTCTAGATGAACCAGTGGTCCGGTCCAAGTAGTGCAGTCCCTATGTTTCTATATTCTGCATCTTCCTAGCCTATTTTTCTTCTTACTTGATACTGTAATAGGTTTGTGACATCACATTCATTTACATGGGAACAAGTAATACAGTTTATGACAAATTCATTTTCATGGGTAAACAAAAAATGGTGGGCCAGATCCTCAGCTGGTGTAAATGGACGTAGCTCTATTAAAGTCAGGGAGCTACATCTGTTTATACCACCTGAGAATGTGGCCCTGACTCCTCTGCTCGAGTAAGTAGAAGGAGGAACTGTAAACTGTGAGGGCCCAGTCCTACAGTTCTTACTCACTTGAGGAGTCCACTGAAATCATTGGTTTCAGAGTAACAGCCGTGTTAGTCTGTATCCGCAAAAAGAAGAACAGGAGTACTTGTGGCACCTTAGAGACTAACAAATTTATTAGAGCATAAGCTTTCGTGGACTACAGCCCCGTGGGCTGTAGTCCACGAAAGCTTATGCTCTAATAAATTTGTTAGTCTCTAAGGTGCCACAAGTACTCCTGTTCTTTTTTTTTAAATCATTGGGGCTCCAGGGTTGGGTAGTAAACTTCAAGAGCCTAATCTAAGCCCACTGAAATCAAATCTATCTGAGCACACACAAGTGAAATGATAGCACAGTATGTCTATTTTTTATTAAGTGTATTTGAATGTGAAGGGCTCTCTTGAGAGTAGTGACCAGCACTGGGTAACCATTGTGCATACCACTGTGGGAGATGTGATCATAATTTTTAAATGAAAGATGTCTCTTTATTGAATTAATGGGTAATTATCCCATTGAATAATCACATCTGACATTTTTGAAAATGTTAACTATTATTTTCATAACACAGAGTGGAAATAGCATTGCAGCAAAATGAAATTATGAATGCCTTTTTTGATGACTGGAAAGCATTAGCAGAAGATGAAAGTGCCTTTGGTGGCAAGTCAGATGCTTACCTAAAGGAATACCAATCGTTTACAGACCTGCACTATCTGAAGCATAGAAGAGTTAGCTGTGTTTGCTGGCACCCAACCATTTATGGTAATGCTTATAAAATATATAGTTCATGCCTGAAATAGTTTCAGAACTTTAAAGTTTAAATTGATAAAGGTTTTATTGGCTTTTAAATGTGGAAACCACTGATTTGAGATAAAGTGGGATATGGACAGATATTGTGTAGAATTCAAAGAGGTAATGTTGTAGGCCAGATGATTTCTTGTGCAAGTGTATAGTAGAGAATACATAGGAAGGAAATTTTCCCCTTGTGAGATCCATTTAAAGGGACTCTAATTGTGCTGGGCCTAATTTCTTTCTCATACTCTCCCAGAAGCACACACTGCTCCATGGGGCCCTGCTTCTCTTTCAACTTCTCCTCACCACTTGCCTATGTGGCTCCACCTGAGTGCAGGGAGCACCAGTAGTCATTCTGAATGCTTCCTAATGTTTCCTTTGGGGTATTGCAGCTCCACACATTCCATTGAATAGCCAACACTGCAGGATGCAAAGGAAATCTGCCTTCTTTTTAAGTATAATGACAAAGGAATTGGTTTCTTAATGGGTGCCCAAGAGCATAACCATGTCTGTCACGTTATTCCAGTTTTGAGACTAGAATTTAACGTCTCTTAGCAAAAATATTGAGTTATATTCTGGTCTTGGGCTTCCATCACTCATTTTTAAGATGCCTAATCATTCATTAACTAAAATTATTGCTTTAAAGGTGACCTACAGTGGGGAAAAAATTGGCTATGTATATAAAAAGGAGACATAGCCAATTTTTTCTCTTTACAGGTCACCTATAAAGCAATAATTAACAGAGCCATTAACACTTGAAGTGGGCATGGCATTTTTTTTTTGTAGAAGTGCTAAAATTTTCCCTTTATCGACGATGAAGTTGTTTGTTTTCCCCTCGATCAGGGATTATAGCAGTGTCAGTAACAGAGCGGCTTTCTTATGAAGAACGTATTACCCAATCTGGTAAACTGTTGTTGCAGAAGTCACCAATTCTTTTTTGGAGTTTCTCTGACCCTATTCACCCTCAGGTATTTAAACAGGATTTTAAAATATTCAAAGCATTCAGACAACAAAGGAACAATCTTTCCAACATGGCTGTATTTCTCAATTGATTATTATTTTTTCTAGTTAATGCTGGAGTGCCCTGAAGAGGTCTACTGCTTTGAATTCTGTCCATCTGATCCCAATATCATTGCTGGAGGCTGCAGGAATGGACAGGTGTTGGCTCCTTTCTTCTTAGTTCTATTATTTTCTGTATTTATTGTTCTAGTCAATCTTCATTTTTGAATTTTAATTTACTACATTAGTGTATGTGCACTAAATAGTGAATATTCAGTGTTCTTGAACAAATGGAAAATGCAGTATGGCAGCAAACTTGGTAGTTTGTATAAACTAGTGAAGCACAGTCAAAATACACATGGCCAAATCATACCACTTGTGGGATAAGTTCCCAGGTTCAGCTCCCCTTGTGGTAGTGAAACAGGGTTTGTACCTTTATTGTGCAGGTATGGACAATGAAGTCTCTTAACCCATGGATAATGAAGTATATACAAGGAAACCCTATTGCCTGCACTTTACTTCCTACTCCCCTGTTCCTTTTCAGTTTCCTAAGGAACCACATTCCTAGTGGCTCCCTACCTCTGTCTGGATCTAAATCCCCCTTGTGACGGAGGTCTGACAGCACAAGAGAGTATTCCACACCGAATAATGCTGTGGACAACTGTTTAGACAGTGATCCTCATTGACTCATTTTTTTTCTTTAATAAATTACTTAACAAAACAGCAAAATGTATCAGAATGAGTATCTTAGGTTTTTCCTCCACAGAATTGCCTTGGCACATTGCCACTCTTAAGAGTATTGCATACTATTCTTCATGTCCCAGAACCACTAAAGGGATTGGGTTAACTAAAAATGTCCACTTCTAGTATCTAAGTGGCTAAGCTAACTGAAAGCTGTAGACCCATCCAGGCTTCTTGGTTCCAGAAACTGAGCATTTTCATCCATTGATAGCAGTTCATAGAAAAAAACATAGAAATTACTATGCTTGATCAGATGTCTGTCTAGTGCAGTATCCTGTCTGCCAGGGGACAGCACCAGATACATCAAAGGAAGGGAGAATATGTAAAGAAGTTTTGGTCTTGTGAGAGTCTGTGATCATAACTGCTTCATGGTTTCAGTAGATGCTTGTCTTTAGGTGGGCTATGCTGCCTTTATCCTTCATCTCCAATATGGCAGAACGGTAGGCCTTTCCTTGGACCAAGAGTACCTGAATGCCTGTTACCAGTTGCACCAGGCCATGTCCAGATCCACGTCCCTGCTTGTACTTCATTGTGGCTTTAGAATACGAATGCTTCCCATCTTTAGAGTTCTCCTCCTTTTTTGGTTCTAGAGGGGAAATCAATAAAATATGAACATGATAGAGGATATATAAAATGATAAATGGTACAAAAGATACAGTTGGGCACCTCATTTATCCTCTCCCATAATACAAAAACAAAGAGATGGAGAATCATAGAAGATTAGGGTTGGAAGAGACCTCAGGAGGTCATCTAGTCCAACCCCCAGCTCAAATCAGGACCAATCCCAACTAAATCATCCCAGCCAGAGCTTTGTCAAGCTGGGCCTTAAAAACCTCTAAGGATGGAGATTTCACCACCTCCCTAGGTAACCCATTCCAGTGCTTCACCACCCACCTAGTGAAATAGTTTTTCCTAATATCCAATCTAGACCTCCCCCATTGCAACTTGAGACTATTGCTTCTTGTTCTGTCATCTGCCACCACTGAGAATAGTCTAGCTCCATCCTCTTTGGAATCCCCCTTCAGGTAGTTGAAGGCTGCTATCAAATCCCCCCTCACTCTTCTTTTCTGCAGACCAGTTCCCTCAGCCTTTTCTCGTAAGTCATGTGCCCCATCCCCCTAATCATTTTTGTTGCCCTCCGCTGGACTCTCCAACTGGTCCACATCCTTTCTGTAGTGGGGGGCCCAAAACTGGACACAATACTCCAGATGTGGCCTCACCAGTGCTGAATAGAGGTGAATAATCACTTCCCTCGATCTGCTGGCAGTGCTCCTACTAATGCAGCCCAATATGCCGTTAGCCTTCTTGGCAACAAGGACACACTGTTGACTCATATCCAGCTTCTCGTCCACTGTAATCCCCAGGTCCTTTTCTGCTGAAATGCTGCTTAGCCAGTCGGTCCCCAGCCTGTAGCAGTGCATGGGATTCTTCTGTCCTAAGTGCAGGATAATGAAATTGAGAGGAAATGCATTTAAACTGTTATAAAAGAAATACCTTCTTTACACAACACATAATTAACTTGTGGAGCCACAAGATATTACTGACCCCAGGAAATTAAAACAATTCAGAAGAGGATTAGATATTTTTATGGACAGGGGAAGTTTTATTCCCAACTTGCATTAGTTAATGTTGGTTTATGAAACATTAACGTTTATATCCCATATAAATGTTTTATCCTGTCTGTAAACATTCTCATCATCCATAGAAATGTCTAATCCTTTATTGAGTCCTGAGGATGTGATGGCATAGAAGCAGTTTTTCAGTCCACAACCTCAGCAATCACTTTAAAGGTGACACTTAGAAATGCTTGATCAGTGTGACAGGCTGCACAGACCAGCTAATTGTTAACGGACTCAGATGGTTCTAGGATTTGCAGTCTGTTGCACCAGACTGCTACAGTGAGCGTCTGCAGAGGCAATATCTTAAAAAAACCCATCACCCTCCAGTTCTGGCATTGTAAGTAGACTTCCTCCTTCTACTTTCAAACAGTGCTCATATTACAGTTCAGAAATCTGTTTTAATCTATCGTTTAAACAGAAAAAATTCTTTGTAAGGGCATTCATTTCTCCTCATAGGTTGTACTGTGGGACATTTCTGAGTATGAAGAAAAGCTGCAGAATGCTAAAACTGGTGCTGGTGGAAGCAAGAACACCGCTGTTAATATGGTTAGTACTTGAGTTCTGTATTTAGTGCTGGAGTATGACCTGCTGTGAATAAAAAAAGGGAAAATGAGAGGAAGTTAGGAAATAAATATGGGAAAGGGAATGCAGGCTCAAAACGAAGGAAATATCAGCCTGGCAATGAAGTACTAACTAACTGATTCAAAGCTGACTGAGACTTTCCATTGACTTTGATGGGCTTTAGATCAGACCCCCAGAAACGTTTCTAGATTGAACTAAAATACTGTAATGGGCCATTAACAATATGTGCAGTTTCCTTTTGTTTTTCTTGATAACTAATGTTGTATTTTGCAAAACATACCTTTTAAAATGTATCTTTTAAAAACTTCTCTAGCCAACGTTTATACAAGCACAACAAAGTGGTAAGGAACCACATTTTGTGAGATATTGTGCAGTCTCTTCTATAGAATATGGCCATAAAACAGTAATAACAGATATACACTGGCTGCCAGACTATTTTGAGGTGAGTTTCAATTGATATTTTATTACTTTTTCTTTATATGTTTAACAAACCACTAATAAAATCAGTGTATGAACTGCAGATCAGGTGTTACAAGATGAAATTATTTATAATAATCTCAGCAGTACTTGGGCTCAGTATTTCTGACTGCATCCCAGAATGCCAAACAATGTCATACTGGTCCCTCTCATGCTCTCTGTACTTTAGGATGTACTCCACTTTCACTTTTTATTACAGCTGATTCAGATATGTAGCTGACCTTATTATAAGATTTCTATAGCTTTACTCAGAATTACATTAAAGATGTTTTGATAACTACAGATGGGATTTCAAAACATATTAACTCTACTATGGGAATTCCTAGCCTGACACTGAGAAGTTAAAGCAATAACTTCTTAGGTCACCTAAACAACTTAGTTGCCAGAAATGACTTCATTAACAGATCTCCTTTTTCTAGATAGAAGTTGCACCCACAAAAATTGCACCTACATTTTCTTCCTATCCTATTCATAGTGCTCCAGCCATTGTATCTTAAGGGCCCATTCAGCTCCCTTTCAAGTTAGTGTGGGAGGGAAAGAGGGTTTCCAGGAGTCAGCCCTACGTGATCATTTGTTGTCTAAGTGGTAGGATTAGTGAGGTGTGCAAAAAAGAGGCCAGGCTGAAAAATCAGACCCACAACCCAAAGTGGATGTTATCTTGAGAATTTCTTGTAACTAAGTTTTTAAGACTCAGTTGCTACTGTATTAACAGTCGAGTGAAGACCGTGGAGAAGACAATGCACAGACATCATTGGAAGGAAGATTGATACATTTGCATATTAATAATTATATTGTGATAGTACCCACAACCCCCTCTTGGTACTGTACATACATGTATAAAGACAAGGCGTCCCCAGAAGAGTACATACAAATTTGCCAGTGGTTCAACTCAGGGTATGTCTACAGCAGGGGTGGCCAACCTTTGGCTCCGGAGCCACATGCGGCTCTTCAAAGGTTAATATGCAGCTCCTTGCATAGGCGCCAACTCCGGGGCTGGAGCTACAGGCGCTAGCTTTCTAATGTGCTACAGAGTGCTCGCTGCTCAACCTCTGGCTCTGCCCCAGGCCCCGGCCCCACTCCACCTCTTCCCCCAAGGACCCTGCCCCTTCCCCTCAGTCTGCCGTGCCCTTGCTCCTCCTCCTGCCCCCCAACCTCCGAGCCTCCTGCACACCACAAAACAGCTGATCGCAGCGGGCGGGAGGTGCAGGGATGGAGAGGTAGGTGCTGATCGGTGGTGCTGCTGGCAGGTGGGAGACACTAGGGGCAGGGGGGAGCTGGCAGGGGGGCTGCTGATGTGTTACTGTGGCTCTCTGGCAATGCACACTGGTAAATTCTGGCTCCTTCTCAGGCTCAGGTTGGCCATCCCTGGTCTACAGTATCAGTGCTACAGTGGCACAGGGTCAGCAAATCCAGTATTACAAAACTGCATGATAGACAGTAAACAAGCTACATTAGGATTCTAATCCAGCCTTCCTTACTCATGCAAATAACCCTTTGACTTCAGTGGCCATGTTTGTGTGGGAAAATTTAGTAGGATTTGGCTTATAAATGATGGGTGCAACTTTGCTGAGTAGCTGATAAATGCAGGTTTTGCCAATGAACAGGAAGTAGTCAATTCTTTTTCTAGACAAAGATTCCATTGTGTACATACATTTTCATCTTTTTGAGATTGGGAATTAGGTCTGAAAATAAGATCAGAAAACATTAGTGGAATCAATAACATGCTTTATTTCATCAGCACTTTGTTTTCTATTCTTTTTATTTTCTGAATAAGTTTCAATGTAAATCTGATTTTCTGTTTTGATCTAAAAAGAGGAAATAGTTCAGAGAAAATAGTTATTGGAAAAACATACACAGCCCAATAAACACTAAATTGTTTATAATTACTATAAGTATCATTTGAGATATTCACTTTTTGAATTGCAATTTCACTATGTAGTTGTTTACCATTAATTCTTCACTGATTTGCTATTTGTTTAAGCAGGATGAAATTTACAAGAGGATGGCTATTAGGTACTCACATATTTGACAATTGAGGGCCTGATTTTCAGTTGTGCCAGCAACTTAAGATCTCATTGACCTCATTTCAAGTTGTATGTGCTTGGCATTTCTGAATATCAAGGCACTACTGATTTGCTTGAAGTAGGTTTGTTTTGGTAAAACGTGTTTATTTCATTTTCATATCAATGGGCTAGTGAGCCCTGACTTGCACAGCTGTACCAGGGTATTTGTACAGCCAACAGTGAGAGGCTCTCTTTCTTAAAGCCTGTTGTAGAGGCGGTGGAGCAGTAGCTTTGTTGATAATAATTTGTTGCCATTTGTCATCCCCATCTCCCTATAGTATTAATTATTATTATTATTATTTTAGGTTAACAGAATGGGCATTGCTTTTGAAAACAGAACTGGAGTTTGTGTGCAGCTTGTAACCTGCTCTCCTGATTGGTAATGCATTCTACAAATGTTTTCATAGGCACCAACAGTCACAAAACATCTCCTGAATTCCTTTGAAAATCCTTCTAAATACACCTTATTCCGTCTCTCTGCTAAATGTTTCAGCATATATTCCATAGTGTAACTGACCAAGTTCTGAATTCCTACAAAGCTGTCTGGAATAGATGAAATTCATCCTGTTGCAGAGGGCCAGCACACAGACCACCACATCACTTAAGCCCCACATAAGGGCAGTGTGTGGGGTCAACTAGCTGGACAGCCTTACAGAGGTGCTTTCATGCTCGCTCTGTGCCACAGAAAAAATGTCTGGGCTGGCCCCACGTAGCTTGTCCTGGAAGGCCACAGAACTGCATTTATGCACAGAAGGCTGCTAAATAACCTAAGGCCATGTCTACACGGGAAACTTTTGCTCAAATAGTGACGTCAATTAGTGTGGGTTTTTAAATGACATTTCTAAACTGGCAAAAGCCCTCGTGTAGATGCAGTTAGACCTGCACATAGTTCTTTTGCCAGTACAACTCATTTCATTCAGGAAGCATCCGCTACGGGCCACTGTCAGAGACAGGATGCTGGACTAAATGGACCTTGAGTCTGACCCAGTCTAACATTTCTTATATTCCTCAACTGGCTGGCAGGGCTGTGGATGCAATTCCAACCCAGAGGCTGGAATAGCAGCTATGGGTGGTGGCCTCCACAGCAGACCCATTCCCAGACCAAGTAATTAGGCTCTATGCAAGGGAGTGCATTTCATCCACTGCATATGTAGTTTTCTTAAACAAACTGTATGATGCTTATTTAGCTACAGTATATGATTAAAAACAGAGTGAGGACAAAATGAGGAGAAACAAAAGTAGCTATAAATTAGTTCTCCATTTCTCTGTTCCCCAAACTCTCGCATCTATTCCTATACTAATTTTGAAGATAGAAGATAAAAAACAAATATTATACAAAAGCTTATGGAAAAGTTAAAATGATTTTTAAGCATGCGAAGAGCAATAATCTACAATCTCTGGTTTTGTGGAGCTCCATATTATTTTGGGATCTTCGAGCCCCCAAAACTACTATCCAGAATTCAACTGAGAAGGCAAAAGATGAGAAGGCTATCGAGGCTCCCCCTGATGTGCCGACTACTTTTAAACATCTGGATCTCTCCTGGAGACCTCTCATTAAGGTACTGTATATAATGTAGAATCTTGCAGAGTTGTCATGGCATTTTTAAATAAAAAAATCACAGTGCAGTCATGCTAAATTTAGTAAAAAAAGTCATGGTTTTAGGAGGAAAGGTATGAAAATGCAGTTCTACCTCTTCAGAGACAATATACCTAAATCCCTTCACTGCTGCTGCCTCTTTGCCCTGCCAACAGGGCACCAACCACCTGCAGAAGCACCCTCTGCCCCAGTACCCCAACCCTAATCCCACTGGTCAAACCTGAGTGGCACTGTGACCCTGTGCACTAGGTCACCATGCCCGGATTGGGGAGCCAGGTCCAGACCTGCAGGATAGGAGTCACTGCTGTGGGGTGAGTGTATACAGGCTCACTCTCCACCCCCTCACCCCAAAACGTACCATGTAAATGTTCACAGTATTGTGATTTTCCTTTTAATGTTGTTGTGATTCGTGTAGGGGAAGACCACATTTTATCCCTATAACATCAACAGAATAGAACAAATACTTTCCAAACTTAGCTTACAAGAACTTTAAAATGATCTAAGAATTTCTGAATAAACGCAGGCTACAGTGGAAGTAGTAATGTATAAGAGCATTTTTACCAGCAGGTTGTCTCTTCTGGTCAGAGCAGGTCTAGAGACATGTTTGTTAAAACACAAGTGGCCACCGGGGCTACCACCAGTGGAGCTGACATTGAAGTGGCAACAGTGAGAAATTTTAGGGGGGAAAGCATAATGTAGACTGGACAACTGAGTCACATTTTAACTACTGCTAGCAAAGAAGGGGGCAGAAGCCAGGGTTTGTGGAATCTGAAGAATGCACTTCAGACTGACAGGTCTTTACCATTACAACAGAAAGCAATTTAGCCATATGCCTCAAGTGTTTGACAAAATGAGTTATCAAATACTCCCTTTGTATTAAACAGGCAAACCTATCCAAGAGCGACACAAGTGGAGACTATAGTCCTACTAAAATTAGCCTAGTGGAAGAGCATTTCCATTACAAAATGCAAGGTAATATTTTCAGTTTATATTTTTGAGATATAAGTATTTTCATAAGATGATTTTTCTCTGTATATAGAATAAAAGATAAGCAACATAAATATACTGTAACGAATGGATCAGTTTTCCTAAATTTACTGGTATATCATGGCACTGAAGGTAATGAGCACATACAATATGAGAAGAACAGAATCTCTACCAATGGGTCACAGGTTATCAGCTCTCATTAGAAGTTATACTAGCAAGCTGTTTTTCTCAGGAGTACTTACTCCCATCAAAGTGAATTGAGCCTTGGTCAGTACTATGTGTGATTTCCTCCTTTAGAGCCACTGTTAGAAATGTATTAATCTGGGTGTTTATTTTAAATGAACCTTTCCTTACTTCATTTTCTACTCCTTAGGCAAGTCTTCTATTTGCTCACTTCGCAGCAGAAATTAGTCTCTGTACGAGAATACTTTCAGAGAAAGTATTCAGAGAGCAAACCTATCTTGCTATCTTAGGTACTTGTAAACTCCCATTACCATAGTATTTGAGTGTTACTGCCACACAATCTTTAATGTATTTATCCTCACATGCCCATCAAAGGTAGAGAAGTGCTATTACTCCCATTTTACAGAGGGGTAAACTAAGGCACAGAAAGGCTAAGTGATTTGCTCAAGGTCACACAGGTCACTGACTGATCAGGTAATTGAACCCAATTCTTCTGAGTCCTATGCTAATGTGTGGACCATCCTTCCTCCCTGCATTGGTAAAGTAGCAATCAAAAGGGAAATACTGAAAAATCATTAAAGTCTTTGGAGAATGGGGAAGGCAATAGAAGGGGGATGAGGCAGATTTGGAAGGGTGAAAGATCATCAGGTGGGTTTATAAGGTTTGGAGCAAATTAGTATCAATGGGACAGCATGTGTCCTTAAAAATACTTTTGGAAATCATTACCACACTGACCCTGAAGCACTACAACTCTGTTACTAAGATGTGCTGGATCAGATTTATGTACTGCCCACTACTAACTGCAGTTGGTGTAAATAAAAAGTTCATAACTAATTCTACAAACTCACTACCTTAAAATATTCACATAGCAAACTTCAAATTCCCCCAAAATGCCCCCCAAAAATGAGAGAACGCAAGAGATACACTAATCTTTCAGCTGTCTAGTTCTAACTTGCTACTGAGCCCGCGTCAAAGAAGGAAAGTAAGAATTCTGGGACAACAGAATTCATTGTCAATTGTCTTTATCAAGTTCTCAAGATACATAACACGTTTTAGAACAACACAGACTCCAGCAAGTATTAGACATTTTCATTACTGGTGATCATGTTTTTCCCCTCAGGTTGAAAGGGACATTGCCTAGTCAAGTTTCGTCTAAACGAAAGAAAGACCAAGAGAAATATTGCTGTAGTTTTTAATTCCAATATACAGTCACGGTTAGCAGCCAACAAGCTCCATCTAGAGAGCAAATACATCTATACCAGAGAAACTTTACTCATTTGTATAGTCCCACTGAAGTCAATGAGACCACTTGGGTGCATAAATGTTCATAGAATTGGGCCCAGACTCTGTTATGCTCTGAAGTCAGGGTTTTCCATCACACCTTTTCCAGCAGTGCTTAGGATTCTCAAGTGATAGATTTTTCTGTCTATCATCCCAGACCCACAACCCTGCTTATCCATTTACATGGCTGCAGCAGAGCTGTCTCCACAAGCACATCCTGTATTGTGAGTTTTTCTTAGCCTCTCCCATTTAGGGTGACCACCTTTTCAAAAGGCAAAAGCAGGACACATGCAGGAGCCCTGCCCCTTCTGTGACTCCACCCCTGCTCCTCCTCTTATCCCTGAGTCCCTGTCCCCTGGCCAGGCCGAAAGCCAGAGCCAGGCCATGGTAAGAGCCAGCCTGCTGTGGGGAGCCCTGGGTCCTCCACCTGTTCCGGACGGTCTTACCGTGGCCTGGCTCCAGCTTCTGGCCTTGCCATGGGGGAAGGGACTCCGGGGTAAGAGGAGAAGAAGGGGCAAGGCCTCGTGACAAAGGAGGGGGGATAAGGCGAAACTCAGCCCTCCCCACCCTGGAACAGGCTGACGCAGCCCCTGAGCCCTGGAAGGCACGGAGCGGGCGCTTCAGGGAATCTGTGACAAATGCCATCCCGGAGTCATTCAGCCTGGGACTGGGTCTTGAAATCCGCATTTTGGATTGTCCCACCCAATTCAGGATGGGTGATCACCCTCTCCCATTGCTACAACAGTGTTAGAGCTCTGCTGGGGTAGCAACATTGGGAGTACTAGTGTAGACTGGTCATCGGCCTTTTAACCACTGCGTTGTGTAAACTGGCCTACTCTAGTGCTCCCGCTGTGGCTGCCACTAGTGGACCTGCATCAGTGGTGGGCAACTGTGGGAGATTTTGTGAAAAATCTGAAGTATAGGCATCACAAGAGTACTGCTTAGCCTGCCTTCTATTGCTAGCAATCTGTATGTGCTCAGCCTCTTTCCCCCAGCTAGAGTTAAGGTAACGTTCCTTCCATGCCATACTAGGTTCACTCTTCTCTGGAATTTTCTTCCCTTCTTTATTTCTCATCTTGAAAGTTCTAATCCCTCACCCTTGAATTACCTGTAAGGAAAATAAGATGTCTGATCTAGTAAATTTCCCTATAACACCAAATGATTATATCCATACTCTTTTCAAGATAAGATGCAATACCAAATCAAACCAGAAATGTTTGGAGACGAAAATCCTTATAAGCAGTTAAGGGTCCCTTCAGCCAAACCTCTTAAGATACTGGAGAATATCGCCACCAACTTTTTTGTTGGAACTGAGGTAAGTTAAACATTTTGATCATCATTTATGACTGATAATTTTTAAAATAGTGGGGGTGTGCTGAACAATTTACACAGACTGGTGCATGCACATGTTTTCTTTATGAGTTAATCAGTAGTTTTTCACTCTGAATTTGCCTTGCCTTTGTACCCCATTTTGACACATTTATATAAATATTTTACTTTAAAAGATTTCTGGGCCATACACTCATGCTTAAAGGCTGGGATTGAAAGTCAGTGGGAATGGGGTGGCTAATTCCCTTAGGCTCCATTGGAAATCCCAGCCAAAAGGTGTTGAACTTAATTCTTAAACCCAGGAACACAGAAAATGTCTTTATTCCCATTGCACGGTTTCCCTAAAGGTCTCATGAAAGCTTTATCGTATTTTCAATTTTTACCCTAATTTAGTCCTCTATTAAAAATAAGCCTAATATTCCAGCTTCTACCTCATTTAAACTAGATCTAGCTGCCAAAATTGAACAATTTAAAAGGGTGTCTTCTTAAAATTTCCTGCATTTCTTCCATTTTGGGGTTCCCATTGAAATCATTTTTCTCTCTTGCTGCCACCTTTTCCTAAAATTGTGGGTCAAGGTCCATACCATAAATGTGAACTATTCCAGCTCTACATGAAGAATGCCCTATAAATGCTGATCGGTGACTGCAATTTTTTTAAAATTAAAACAACCCAACTGATAAAGTAATGTGAACATTTGCCCCATTTTTGTAGTCGTGCTAAAACATGTTCAGATTAAACTGTATCTAAAAATTGACATTTAGTAAAGAGACTCCAATTTTACCAACTAAAAATAGTCACATTTTGACTAAAGCTTTTGCTATAAATATTTCACCCAGCCTCCATTTGCATTTATTTGATTTCTCTGGCATCACAGGATGGTGAAGTTATTTATTCCGACTGGAAGATGGAAAGAGAGAGTGACTCAGGAAGGCTGATTAGTAAGTTCAAGTTTTTCACCATCAACTAAAACTGCCTTTTTAAGCTAATGGACGGACAGATGGATATAGAGAATACAGATATAGATTTAAGCCTTGTTTTATTACACAGAGATGTAAGCTTTGTAGGACGGACTCTTGCCCTGTTTGCAATAGGAATTTGACTAATTGCTGACAACAGGCATCAGCAAAGAGCCTCCAAACTGGTGTTGAAAATGATTTGACTGCCACTGTAGAATGAAGAAAACCCTTTTCAATACCATTACCGAATGCATGATCCGTGATCCTGAAAACAGTTTTGTCCCATTTACACTAGTAATTAAAATGTTTTTAACACCAGCTCAGTGGGACCTGTTGCAACTGTTGCCAGAAATGGGTCAATTTGTTTGTATAGATGGAGCTTAAATGTAAGCTGATGCCCTGTAAACATTTTGAAGAAGACCATTTCCAGACACAGAATAGCAGCAAACGTAGCAGTGGTAGAAATCTCGTCCTTCCCAAGTCTTTTCACTTGAAAGCTTAATTGTGACTATTTAAAACAGGAAATTGCATTTTTCAAAATCACAACAAAATTAATTGAAACACCTATATTAATACATTATTTGGCTGCACAGTTAAAATGAAAATGTCTGCAAATCCAATAGGTCCTTAGAGTGACATTAGCTTAGCCACATGGTACATTCTGAGTAGTATATTAAAAACTCAAATGATACTATATTAAATATTAAACCATTCATTTAACAATATAAAAACAAAGGAAATACATAGTATGTATGTTGTGCAACTTGGCTGACAATGTTGCTGTAGGAATCCAAACTTCTGTATTTCCTGGCTTTTTAATTTTAACTACATTAGTGTAGCTTTTGCATTTAATTGACAGATACAAACACTGGAATATTTTTAGTAACTGAGGGATTCAATAAAGAGGGTTACATTGTGAGAAGCTAGAAGTTTTAAGTTGCATTTTAATGTCTTATTGTTTCTATCATGAACTAAGAAATGCTTGCTGAACTAACAGTTTTATAGGATGATGACTAAAGATATTCAATGTATAGACATAAATAAAAAGCATATTTTAAAAACTTCTCAAATGGTGTCAGTATCTCACAGAAATGTACACTGAACAATAAAGCAAATAATAATAAAGCTAATAATATCTGAATTAATGAAAATTCTCTGAAGACAAGTACAGTGCCTTCTATAGCTCTCCACTAGGATCTCCTTCCTCGGGGACGAATGCCTGAGAGTTATTAGAAAATTAGAAGAGAGACTTAAAAAGAAGAGATTGTATTAAACTAATCAAAATGCAAGGGCCTGTAATCAGGTACTTAAGTGTTTTAACCAATTGGCAGGCAGGCACAACTATGGAAGTTTGATATCACAATTTTCTTGGGCAAAACTGCAGACATACATTTGGGTTGAGGCCGCTTTTATCTGTGCTAGTCAGCTGCAGAGCACATGGATCTGAGGCACAAAAACCCAGGAGAGGGAATCTATAAAGATAATGGATCCAATCCTGCAGTAGTTATTCCAGAAAAACTCCTACGAGGCTGAGGATTGTAGGATCAATTTCACTATCTTCAGAAAACTAGAGTTACAAGTAAATAATTGTCCTTTTCATTCCATTAGGTCAGAAACCAGCTAACAAATACACCATCCATGATGGAATTGTCCATACTATACAAAGATCTCCATTTTTCAAAGACATCATTCTTAGTGTTGGAGGCTGGAATTTTGCCATATGGAAAGAAGGTGTTACAGTAAGTTACTTTTGGCAACAGACATACTAGAGTTGATGGAGAAAAGAATAGAGTAACTACAGGATATAGCCTCAGGGACAATACTCACGGAAATGATGGTAGATGGCAGAGCTGGCCAGTTTGAAAATAAATTGGGTTAAAAAAATAAGCTATTTTCTCCTCCCAGAGTGAAGCTTTTAAAAATAGTGTTGTAAACTTGGCTCCAACGGAGGAAGCAACTTTCTCTAATACCAGCTTTTGTGACAGTTGTGGCTTCTGCCCAGGCTATTTACATTTCAAGCAGTCTGTTGTGAGTCAGAGGAGCTGAGAGTAGAGGTAGGATGTGCTAAACAATACTACAGGCTTAAGGAACCCCTATTAAACAAAAGTAATTTGAACAACAGAGTAAAAGACAGCAAATAATAATTCATTATCTCTTTTTTCCCTTTGGAGTTATAGCACATCGAAGGGCAAAGTGTAGTTACAGGGAAAAGGAAATGCACTATTCTAGTCTAAAGATAGCAGAGGCAAGGATGGCTATGGTAGCATCCATACCAGTGAGGAATGGGTGCGGTCTTTTGGCCAGCCAAATATTGAAAAATATGTTTCTTACTATTGCTGCCATCTGGGAATCCAGGACTTTAGTTGCATCTAGCAAAACCCAGATTTGTTGTTTGTCTTGTTTGTCAATTGGTAGACTCCCTTAACTGAGGGAATGGGCATCAACTTTTCCACTTCCCTACAACACTTCTCTTTACCAGTCAACAATATACAGGCTGGTTTTGACACCATAATTACTTGTGTAGTGGGATCACTCAGAAATGGTAATGGTTCTCGCATTACACAAGCAGAAGTCTGGAAAGAGTTCTGACTGGGTTGGTTTTTGGTTTTGATTGTTTTGGTTTCTGTTTCATTGACTTTTTTTTTTTTAAATTTAAGAGCGGCCCAATCCTTCAATCATGCTGCTCATCAAAAAGATATACTGTAGGACATTGGTCCTTATCAAGAGCAGGAGTTTTCTTCATTGGTAGAGAAGATGGAAATATTGATATTTGGGACCTACTGGAGAAAACACATGAGCCATCCCAGACCCAGAACATCTCTATATCAATGATCACCTGCATCAAACCCTGGATTGTCTCTTGTATGTTGTCGTGATTACACTTTTCCATTACACTGTATCTTAAAAATAAATTATACCATGATACTGGAAAGGCTTATGTATATCCTTAACTTTACACACTGTGCATTATTCCACTGAAGTCAGTGAAACTATGCACAGTGAATAAAGTAAAACACATGCATAAATCTTTTCAGCACTGGGGCCTTCATGTTTTTATCATGACACAAGCAACTAGGCACAGTTTCTTTTGTTTTTTAATATTGTTACAAAAATATTGTTTCTATTAAGCAAGTTTGAAAAGGTAAAAATATATTTCTATGTAATAAGGGACATTTAATTATTAGAAAAACAAGACAAAATAAAGCTATTTTTTGCTGCAAAAACCAAAACCTAAAAAAAGTAACAAAAATGAGTCTTTGGGAGCTATTCGCTTTCTCTGTTTAAAAAGATAGATAGATGTGCACACTTGCTTAAGCATTTTATCAACACTTTATGAGGTTTAAGTATTTTATGGCTGAAACTGTGCATCTTAAATAAAATAAAATACCTTTCACATTATTTTTAATAGAGTCAGAGAAACACCTGAAACTTTACGTAAGAGTTTTCAAATTATACTTGCCTATTCCCCGGGAAATAATGGAAACTGCAGACAAGCTCCTTGACCCTTCCTAGATCATAAGCACTTCAGGGCAGGAACCATCTTTCCTTTGGGCAGAATGCCTAACACAGTAGAGTCCCAATCTGTGATTAGGTTCTCTTGGCACAACCACAATAAAATTAATATCCAATGACTCAAATAACCATATTTGGAATTCTGTATGAACAGAGGCCTTAGCTGAAAAGTTAATCAGTAAATACTAGAATTCATGGTTAAAAAGATGCCAACACAGTAATTGTCATACTGGATCAGGTCACTGGACCATCTAATCCAATATCTGGCAATGACCAGGACCACATGCTTCAGAGGAAGATGCAAAAATACCCACAGTGGACAATCACAGAATAATTTATAAGGGAATTTTGTTCTTAGCCTATCAGTTAGCGTCTGGCTTATGTCCTGCAGTGTGGGGGTCACACAAACATTTTAATTTACTTTCTGCATCCTTAGTAATAGCATCATTGTTTATTTTGTTTTCATAATCTTACAGCAAAGCAGCACTTTTTAGCCATATCTGATGACTTTGGAACACTGCATATTTTAGAAATCTCTTGGACATTAAGTCACCCTTCCAGTAATGAGGTTTGTAACATTTTCTACTTACCCTGTAACTGACTACATATGTTGTGAGGTTTCATGGAGTTTTTTTTCAGGCACATCCTTTCAGGTTATCGGATTCCTACATATTAAAGGTGATTAACTTGTGTTCGAGATGATCCACAGCCATGATCTCATAACATCTCACAAACGAAAGCTGTACCTGGTAAGTCCTCAGAGGGGAGACGTCAGAGGAAAACCAGTTGTTGCAAGAAGCAGAGTTGGCAGAACTCCATCATTATAACCAAGCAATGGAAAAAATGTAGACAAAGTGTCTAAATGGTACAAACACCGTTTTTTGCCACGTGCATAAAATGGCCCAGGTTTAATAAACTACTTTCTATACATTTGCCTTGATTTATTTCCTATACATTTTGCATAGCTCCAAGAATGTCAGAGACTTCAATTGAGCCATGATGATTTATACCATCTGAGGATCTGACTTTAGATCTTTTAGGATATGTTCCTGCAAACTGTTACATAACTAGCCCTCACAAACTCTTTGGGACTGCTCATTTGAGTAAAAACGATTAAATTATAAGCTCTTAGGGGCAGAGACGGTCTTGTTCTGTTTATTATTATGCTCTAATAAATTTGTTAGTCTCTAAGGTGCCACAAGTACTCCTGTTCTTTTTGCGGATACAGACTAACACGGCTGCTACTCTGAAACCTGTCTTGTTCTGTGTGTTTGTACAATGTCTACCATAATGGGGGCCTGGTGCTGTAATACTACAAATAATAAATAATTTGCATCAATAATAATTTGCAAAATTAGGAGCTGAATTTGCATGTCTTCTCTCTCTACTGCTTTCATTCAGTTTCACTCAGCTCCTTCTCCCCACCAGAAAACAAGTTAGGGGCCCCATCTAACTCATTCTAACAATTTTTTCTGCTGCTTATTCTGTACTCCTTATTCTCTTTCCTTCCCCAAACCACTCCTCCTCACTATCCCAAACCTTCCTCTTACCATTTATGTCCTCGTGTATATTGTAAACTTACTATGAAGTTATGGTATGTAACCAAAATGAAACAATATGAATACTGGTGATAACTGGCACCCTGGGCTCAGTAAAGAGAACCTCTCTAGTTCAGGTTAGGGACACATTTCCAGTGAGGGGAAACTTGCGCTGCTTCTGCCCATACTGTATTTGTTTTGTGAGTAGAGGGCTTTACTGGACAGAGTTGTGAATATTTATCTACTTACTGTAAAATCTTTACATTCTGTTAAAAAACTCTAGGATCTTGAACAGTCGTGTTAGGGAAATTGGTGCACAGTATGACTCAAATAACTCTGATAGCGGAGAGGTGGGGTGGGGGGACTTGGTGCATAAAAGGTAACTCAGGGCTAGTTTACACACAGACCTGGATTGATTTAACTGAAATCATTATCGTAAAACCAATTTAGTTATTTTGGTGCAAACCTGTGAGGTGTCACTCTTGTTTCACAACGTGAATGGATAAAGTCAGTTTGTTATTGAGACTATAAAAGTGACTTTGGCCGTGCACAGACTTGCACCAAAAATACCTAAAATCAGTTTTAACCCAGGCCTTTTGTTATTTTACTGCAAGTCTGTGCATAGACCCACACTAGGATAGGAAAACTGATAACAGCATTATCAGGTTAATCAGGAAACGGTCGATGTATTACATTATTACAGAATTTCTTATTTAGTTCTGCAAATTTAAAAAAGATGCTTTAAAACAATGCAATATTACTGTAGATGGATTATGTGCTGAAAAGTGCAATAATTAAGATTCACTGTGATCACCACAAACCATGATTGCCTTTGTGTTAATAGCGTGCCAGTGTTCTTCATTACTTTGAGAGAGAGGTCAAACATCTGGATTATTTTGAACAGCGGCAAGAATTCCGAGCCAAAGAGAGAGAGGAATTGGAGCTGGAGAAACAGAGGAAGAAGATAGTAAGTTGTGTTCAGGAGGTAGAAAAGCTAGTTTATTATTTTGATTTTTAAAATATGCCTCTCTCTTTGCTCTAGGTAAAATTTCCTATGGTATTTCCATCTATTAGGCTTTATAAATTAAAAATAGCTTTTGCTTAGCATTTTCTAAGTAAATCCAAGTGACCACTTTCATATTTATAGACTAGTCCATCATTTGGGGAAGAGAATATACTGTACTAGGTCATGCTTAACCCTTCAGTCCTTACTCAGCCAGCACTCCCTTTGACTTCAATAGAGTTAGAGTGGAGATCAGTTTGACCCTGTTTAAGAACTCTTATTAATTTGCTTTCCCCTTTCCCCTAGCTGTACACTTGAAATCTTAATTTAGGTGCCATTTTTGTAAGTATTATTCTTTAAAGTCAGCAGGCAGAGGCCCCAAACCTTCAGCCCTTAGTTACATATAGCTGTAGTGTCATTGAACTCAGTAGGACTCTTCATGTAAGTGATGATTACTGGCATGAATGAGGGTTGCAGGCCTGAGTCCTACATACATAAAGCTAGAACTATTAAATTATAACAGTCGGATAGAGATGTTTTTCCAGTTTGATATTTTAATTAATGTTTTACTCAGATTTGTTTTTTCTCGTTTGTGTGCCCTCCATATCATCTTGTTGGGAGTGTGTTACATACAACACTGTTATTCCCATTGGCAGTAGTAGAGGACTATGGGATATGCCAGATGCAACAATTCCCCCTTGCAGAGAGAGGGAAGTGTAGTATGATGAGAAGCACACTAAGGAAAGTAACTGAAATAGTTCCCTGATGGACACCCTACCCTAATCCTCAATTACTGAGGGGCTATCTTCACTGATTGATATATTTTGCTTTCCACAACCATCTCTCTGTACAGCTTTGCATGAGTGATGTACCCGAATACTTGGATGCTAACATCTAAGCTATATTCTTAAATTTATTCACCTAAATGTGGGTTATTGCTGATTATGTACTATAGGTGTCATATGACTTTTAAAAACAAACATGGTATTTGTGGATAATTAAGCACTATACCCAGATGTACAGACACTCTTTTCTCAACCTATGTATTATATAATGTTAACATTAGCTTTATATAGAGCATTCTATACCTGGAGTCCTGTGTGGTATGTGAAAGGAAGTGAGCCTTGAACAGATAATGAGGCTTGTCCGTAGGAGGTACTATTGCAAGGGCTTGGAGAATTAAATCTATCCAATAGCTCTGTGTTGACATGACTAATAAATGATGTTACCTGGCTGATGAAATGGCAAATCTGTGCATGTGGTTCTCAACGATGCAGTCAGCATTGACAATCACTGACTGCAAAGCAATGGAATCGTATTAATATTGGTTACTTTTTCCTCAGAAAGTGGCTGGTGGACAGAAATCAAGAGAACAAATGGAGGAGCAGATGAATATAAATTATGTCGATTTTCTGGATGAAGAGAAGAAAATCCTGACAGGACTTGGGCTATTGAAAGCAACAGATAGATTTGCCTAGAACAGAACAGAACAAGCATATTGGCAAATGTGCATTTTTTTTCAGGATAGGTTGTTTTGCTTTCTTGGGAAAGCAGCATCTTTAGTATGAGAACTGTAAATATAAAGCATATCACACCTAGGCAACATTATCTCACTAGCTTTATTAAGATGTTTGCTCACAGCAGCAGGCGAGAGAACACTTGATTTGTGAGATTCCTGCACGGCCATTCATTAACGAATATAGTTGCAAATCAGTCATCTCCTGGTTTAATGGCATTATTTTAAGTTGTCTTACTTATTTATTGTTACAATGCGCCTATCCAGTGCTGTGCCTGCTGTAAAAATATTCAATGAAAAACCTACTCAACAAGTCAAAATAAGACTATAACATCCTCCCCTGCAAACGGCTCCTGTTCGAATAGAATACAGGATATTAATATTCCTGCTGCTCAGCTCCAATAAACATCTCCCATTCCACCCTACCTCATTCCCAAAGCACTCAATTCCCCTGGAAAAGCTCGAAAGAAAAGGTTACTTTAAGTTTTGCAGCATGCCCTGAAGGTTCCAAATATGGGCATGTCATGAACCAAGGGACAAAGAGAGCTCCAAAGCCAATGACACTCTGCCGCTTGCTGCCTTTGGTTTATACCAGGAGGGACCAGTCAGCACCTCAGATGACCACAACTGTCCTGGCAACATACGAAGAGAAAGAGGTAGTCTCTCAAGTGGCTGGGACTGAAGTCTTTAAGAGCTTTAAATGTCATAAATAACGCCACACACTTCATCTGGGCAGATCATGAAGCACTGGTCTCCTGTGCTCTTTTCATGAAAGCCCAGCTCATAAGCAAGTCACTGTATTCTGAACTACCTGCAATTTCTACATCATTTGAAAATGTCACCCCAAACAGTGCACACAATCTAACCTTTGGGTGATTAGGATGTATAGCATGGCAGATAGTACGGGACTTACTGTGTTGTTAAATACAGAGTGTGGCTGTCCCACGGAAAGAACAGCAGGAAATGCACTGTCCTAGGGGACCTACATTTTGATTCTATCGGACGTGTGAATTGATGCCACTTTACAAGCTTTGCTTCAATATTCAAAGGCTTCTTTGAGCCCCATCTCTGGGGGTTTAGTTAAAGATTCTAAAGTGGTTGGCAGGATTTCCTTTGTTGAAGACTGTGAGGAAAGGGATGTACATATGTTAGGCTATGTCTACACTACGCAGCTTTTAGCGACCCGGCTGTGCCCATACAGCCATGCTGCTAAAAGGCGCGCAGTGTAGCCACTGTTCGTTGGCAGGAGAGAGCTCTTCCCAGCAACAAAAAACATCCACCCTCAACAAGCAGCGGTAGATTTGTCGGCAGGAGAGCACTCCTGCCAACAAAGTGCTGTTCATACCAGCACTTTTCTTCGACAAAACTTGTATCTTTTGGGGGCACGTGTGTGGGGGGGGTTTTTAACACCTCTGAACAACAAAAGTTTTGTTGTTCACTTGCCAGTGTAGACAAAGCCTTAGATAGAAGAAACAACATACAAATACGACCTGGACACTCATCAAGAGATTTTGATGAATCCTGGTATCTACAAGAATGAAGCTCTAGTGGCTAGGTATGAGATTGTAGAACCTGGAGGTGTGTGTTCCTTAGCTAGTTTTCCTGTGTTGGGATTAACAACAATTTGTACATAGTTAAAGGCAAGCACAAGATTTAAAAAAATAAAGTGTTTTTCTGTAAATCCCATGCAAGATGACTCTTTTTTCCTGTCTGACATTTATTTTAAGATTCAGTTCACAGTTTGATTTAAGCTGATTCTGAACAGTGGGAGGATGGATAGGAGGGTAGTCACAGAGGTACTGGAGCCCCTCAGAACACGTCTTTTATTTGCATGCTGCAGTTTGTGAAAGTTGTTCTGTGAAGAACTGGGTTGTTCCAGATTAGCAATGGAAATACAGAGCCTTATATCTCTAGGCTGCTAGTTTGAATCTTTAGCAACTAATGATAGTGACCAGAGACAATGCACTGGCTGTCACATCTCCCATCTGAAATGAGCTGACAGGCTCAATCAAGCTTTGAGTAGCTGTCACAAAAATCACCAACATAAAAATTGGCACTGAGTGGCCATTTTGTTGTCAATCACAGTGGAGGGACCAAAGAATGTAAATGGAGACCTAACTGCTTTCATCTTTAGCAGGTGGTCACATCTGATGAGGGCTGAGGATCATTTCTAGGGAATGATTCTGCTCTTTTTGTAGAATCAACTAAATACCATTACATTGTGTGGAACACATTGTGTGGACTGGTATAAAAACCTAATGAACGGAATAGAGCTCTCAATATTTCTGAGAGAGAATAAAAACCGTATTCTAATTTTTCCTTGGTCCTTTCACAGATCTCTGATGTCACAGCTGTATATCAGAGCTCAGCACAGCTGCATAAGAACAGTTCCTTCTTCACTAGAGAATTCCCCAGACCAAAAGCCTGGGCTTGTGTAAACCTGATCTTTGGCAGAAATTGAGTACAAACATCATAGCACAGGACTATGGATGTTTTCCACACTGATTGCAAAGGGCAACATGGAACAATGACAATAGCTTGAATTAGAGGGATACCAGCAGATTAAGTCATATATGTAACACACATGATTAAGGAGCTAATCTTAAGCATAGCTTCAGCAGAATAGGTTAATAGTAATATAACTATATTAATTCACTTCATGAGAAATCGGTGAATGAATTTTTGGAGGGTCTATATTCTACATCCCATACCTTACAATTTCTATTTAATACTAGATATGCTTAAAATAAGAGGGGAGTCCACATCTAAATCCTGGATTCAAGCACTGCTAATATTTGCAGAAGTATCATGTACACTTAAAGCTCCATGTAATTTGTTTTAAACAGCAATACATTTTATCTGAGGCTGGTCCTTTTCCTGTTATAACGTGCTGATCCAAAACCACAGATCTAACCCCACCCCCACCCCCAAGTCTAGGACATTTCAGAACTGGAGCATCTCTGCTTAAAATAATCATTTTGTTCATCAGATTATAAAATGATTCCTAATTTAAGATTAGTAAATGTTTAACAAATAGAAGACTGGACCCATAAAAATATGTTGTTCCCCCAAGGAAATTAGGTTGTATTAGAAAAGAGCAGCTTTTCCTAAGCACACAGTGGATGTTGCTGTTTGCATTTCCACTGAAAGGCAATTATTCCTGAGAGATGAACCATGTGTTATACAACAGCTTTAATATCCACAAGCGTAAATGAGTAACAGCCTCATTAATATTAATGCTCATCCTTTATCTGCAGGGATGACTCTTTACATAATGCAGTGTTCTGCCTGTTGCTAGGTTTCCAAAGCCAGGTCAGATACCATGTAACTGAGTAGAACCTGTCAAGTGGAAATTAAATGGATCAGAGAAGGACAGATTAAACTCTATACGGGTGAATTCACTCTTTCCATGACTCACTGAGCTGTTTTGAGGGTCACAGACTCCTGTCAAATGAGTGTCCATATGGTCACAGTAGACACTAGAACGCAAAAGAAAACTGACACATGGGGGCCTTTGCCAAGAGAAACTTCTGTAGACCAATGATACCTAACTACAGTGCACTACTTCATCAGAACAAAGGCTATTCTAAAAACCCTGGAACAAGATAGCTATGAGCTTCCTGTCTACAGAGAAATATAGAGATTACAAATAGGTTTTAAGGAAAGGTAAAAACATGCTATAAACCCACAAGGGCTAGTGTCTCAAGGCCCCTCCCATTAGGTATATTTACTTTTTGCTAAAGTTTCAGTCAGGCTTAAAGAAAGTGCCAATTGAGTACCACTAAACCTGGATGTAATTATAGCGTGACATTTAAAAAGGAAAACTGAGCATGTGTGTGTTTAGGAATGAGATCTATAAAATTATCAGCCTTTCAATTTTAATTTGAAGTTTAAACACTATTACAATCACATTATGTGGCTCCTCTATATTACACAATCTCTACATCAAAATCAAAGTAAACTGTAAAAACCACTTTCCTGATATTTATAATGTTTTGTTTACAGCTGGAAATCAAATGGAAGGGGAATGCAAACCAAGCTCCCTTTGTTAAATCAACATTTAACAAATAAATTGATGTGCACAGATATGGCAACTGGCCCAACACCAGCTAAATTAAAAAGCCCTATCCTCTGGTTGTGAGGCCTATATTTTATTAGAGGAACATAAGACTTTTCAGATCAGCTTCCACAGAACTTTAGCTAATCAGGACAGCAGTGTACAATACACTGAAGTCAATAAAGTGATCACTGAGTGTACCTGGAAAGTCCCAGTCACATTTGTCTCCTTTACTAAAAAACGAGAGGAAGTCACAACTATTCTCTTCCTAAAACCACTTAAAAAAACCTCTAAAAGTTATTCTTTGTGGCGGCCTCTACATATACCCCATGCTCCCCAGCACTTCAGAGGAACCACTGGAAAGCAGTGGGGGCTGGATGCATGCCCTTTCACGGGACCCAGTGTTCAGAGCAGAGGTTAAAAAAGGAATCAT